CGCTTGTATATACACCGATGGTACAGAGTTTCAGAGTTGCATCGTAGTTAACATCCTTGATAATCTCCAGGGTATACGTTTCGATAAATCTGAGATTTATCAGAAAGTATACCCTGCAGATTATGGAGGATGCATAGTTAACAGCGCATGATAATAGTCTTCCGTTCAAGGTTGGCTTCTACTTGAAAAGATGTTCCCGGATAGGTCCATTTCTGTCAGCGATGAGTAAGTGAGTATGGTTTTACGCCCCTTTTAGCAATATTCCAGCAATATCACGGCAGGGGACAACAGAAAAGGGCTTAACACAGTGTACCCATGTGGGGAATCGAACCCGATTCTTCGGGGTGACGAGCAAACGCTTTAAAATAACCACTAGGCTACCCCCACCGCTCCCTATCAGCGATGACGGCTGTGATATAAACAATGACGTTAAGAGTCGATAAAATATTGAGAAATATATCTCAATACATAAAGCCTATAAATAAAGTTTATAAATACGCATTCACGTATTAACCTTTATTACATACATGAATTCCAAGGGTCTAACAAACAGTTTCAAGCCAAACTAACACACCATCGATTGTTCCTAATGTTACATGTCCAGCCATCTAACCCACTCAGCCACCGTGGCTTGGACAAAACATGGAAGACTGACAACTGGAAGTCAAGATCACGGGCTTTGTGTACCCCTCTGACAGGAGCTGATTCGTTGCTTGAAGGAGCTGATTCGTTGCTACCTTTCCTAACATTGAACCGTGGTTTCTACACTCCGAGGTTGTGCAACACATGGAATTGTCCAGTGAAGGGTGTGGTCTTGTTTCAAATTGGCTCGGCTGCCACAGGAGAATGTTCACATTCATCAGGAAACAGCCCCATGAGTTAAATTCTCCAACAATTCAATAATATTTGTGCTTTAAATTTCACTCAAACAGGTTCCAATACATTCTGTTACATCCTCAGGTTCACTGATATTCCCGCTTTCGCTTCTTCCCATACTTCCTGTGTTGTTTACTCTCCTAGATGCTCTCATCGCCACCTATCCTGCGGCTGTCCAAACCTTCAAAGTAATCCAGTTCGTCAGAGAACTCCTGCAAGGTCTGCCGCTTTCTTTCTGACCATCTGACTTTTGGAAGTGATGACAATTTGCCAGGGGATGGACGTACCTGTTTCCTTGACAACGCATGATCACGTGATACGATGGCCTTCTGTCTAGACATCACAGGGCCCTGCATAGACAACCCTGACTCTGTGAGACCACAGCATACAGCAGACTGCTTACGATTCTCCACAATTTTCTGGGAAAATCTAATCTTCCGGGTATTACATGATGAGGTCGGATGTGAAGGATTTACCTTATGGGCAGCTGCCTCCAGTTCTTCAGTTGTCTTGGTCCAGCTCCTTGTTTGCACCTGCGTCGCTGTAGTTTCTCCATTTACGTAACCATGACCATAGACTGAACGCAATAGGCGTCTAGTTTCCTCCGTCTTGAAGTTGGAGCCTTGGTTCCTCCACTGTAAGGCAGATGCATGGAACAAAGCTGAATCCAGCCCCCGAGAACAGCTTAAACACGATGGCATTCCGTCTAACGTAGACTGCTCGTGTCCTTGAATTTCCTCCTTTATAGGATCAATGCCATGTACGTCTTGAAGGAGCTGATTCGTTGCTACCTTTCCTAACATTGAACCGTGGTTTCTACACTCCGAGGTTGTGCGACACATGGAATTGTCCAGTGAAGGGTGTGGTCTTGTTTCAGGTTTCTGCGGAATTCCTACCGCCAAGTAATCTTTTCCATATATGTCAAACAGTAGTTTGTGGGTTTCATCCTTCCCTGTCTGATAACACTGGTCTGCCCATTCCAAGGCTGAGCTGAAATATGAAGACTTCTGCCGAGTTGTCACTGATATTTCATTAGTGGAAACCGGAGATTTCTGTTGAATGTTTCTAGTCAAGTAATCTTTGCCATATAAATCAAACAATAGTTGTTGAGTTTCATCCTTCCCTAACTGATAACACTGGTCTGCCCATTCCAAGGCTGAGCTGAAATATGAAGACTTCTGCCGAGTTGTCACTGATATTTCATTAGTGGAAACCGGAGATTTCTGTTGAATGTTTCTAGTCAAGTAATCTTTGCCATATAAATCAAACAGTAGTTGTTGAGTTTCATCCTTCCCTAACTGATAACACTGGTCTGCCCATTCCAAGGCTGAGCTGAAATATGAAGACTTCTGCCGAGTTGTCACTGATATTTCGTTAGTGGAAACCGGAGATTTCTGTTGAATGTTTCTAGTCAGGTAATCTTTGCCATATACATCAAACAGTAGTTGTTGAGTTTCATCCTTCCCTAACTGATAACACTGGTCGGCCCACTCCAAGGCTGAGCTATAATATGTAGACTCAAGAACCTTCTCTAACTTTCCCTGTTCTGTATTCCGTTTCTCTTTCATCAGATCCTCCACAATTCGGGGCTCTTCTTTCAAGTCACCTCCGTATCTCTGAGCAGATGTAACGCATGTTGGTGGAAAACTTCCGGACACCTTGTCCTGACTCTTCCCTTTATGTAAACATGTTTCCCTCACACCAACAGTTTCATTGTGGAATACAGTTGACTCGTGGTGTATCGTTGGAACCTGTATCTGTATATACGGCTTAAGTCTGTCTGCCAGATCCTGGTGCATTGAGTCACTATGTAAATGGTTAGAATGGCCGTCCTCTACATTTGCACTTTCATATTTGCTTGGCAGAAGTGTGCTTCCTTCGTCTGGATTCATATGCACTTGGTATCGTAGACTGTCCTTTGGTAGACTTGGTACTTCAGTGTCAAAACCTCTACTTTCTTGTACATTGAGGAAATGATCCACGCCTTGGTGTTTGTTGGAATCACTTAATGCTGTGTCCGTACCTGGTTCAGTACTTTGGGTTTTAGGTTCTACGAGTGACAGGGCTGATGGATGAGCTGTGTGATACATTTGCTCGCCTTCTTTCCTGAGTTTTTCTTCCAGGTCAAATGGAAGATCTGAGATGTCACTCACCGGACTGTTACTCCTGTGGACGCTCAGTTCATTATACGATCTTTCATATCGAAGATACTCGCTGGCAGCATCACTCAGATAGACTGGGATTTGTTCCACATCTGTCAGATTCCCATCTTGCTTAAAACTTACATCATCTGTGGTGGGAGACGTTTTGTCAGGTTGAACTATAACTGAATCAGAGATCCTCAGCTCTTTTACCTTCTGAATATGACGTGTCCCGACTTTCATGACCTTGACTTTGACTTTGTCTTTGAATTTCACATTTAACATCCTCGTCGGCGCTGTCGCCCCACGAATGCCCTGGCGTTCATAGTTACTCCCACAACATTTGTCTTTGGACAGTTTACTTTGGTTGTCATAGTCTTCTGCTGCTGATACATGGAACGGGGTCCCTGTTGTAGAACATTTCCTGGATTTGTCATTAGGCATAGCGCCACCCTTCTGTCCATCCGAGGTCGTTGGGGTGAAAGGCTTGGGTACATGAAACTGGTCATAAGACTCTGTGTCCTTGATGTGTGAATATGTTTGGTGTGGGACTGGCAACTTGGCTCTGGTCTTTGATGTGTGTACCAAATGACGTGAGAATGGCAACATGGCTATGTTTATCGATACGTGCATCTGATGATTTGACACTGGCAACTTGGCTCTTGGCCCTGGCCCTGGATGCGTGCATCTGATGATTTGACGCTGGCAACATGACTCTGGCCCTGGATGCGTGCATCTGATGATTTGACGCTGGCAACATGACTCTGGCCCTGGATGTGTGAATTTGATGATTTGACGCTGGCAACATGACTCTCGCCTTTGATATGTGCATCTGATGACGTGAGAATGGCAACATGGCTATGTTCCTCGATACGTGCATCTGTTGATGCGGGACTTGCAACTTGGCTCTGGTCCTGAATGTGTGCATCTGATGATTTGACGCTGACACTGACTCTGCTGGAGCATGGTTCTGGTCCTGGATGTGACTCTCGCCTTTGATATGTGCATCTGACGATGTGGGACTCGAAGAGTTGATTTAACTCGTTGCATCTGATGATTTGACACTAATCCGATGGTGCCCCTGACGATGTGGGACTAAGAGGATTTAACTCGTTGCACTTGTAATCCGATGGTGTGCTCTCCGTTTGTTTCTCTGATGTCGATGGGCAAACACACCCTTGCCCGTGGCAGTTATCAGTAGATGGCCTGTTACCTTCCTTCATGTGAGGAACTGCTGAACATTTACCAATAGGCTTGTAACAGTCATCAGCCAATGTGCTCTCTGATGAACCAGTTGTCGACGTCGCAGCAAGTAGCGACGAGTGAGAGACGGCCTTGGGAGTGCCTTTGCTGGCACCACCAGCGATATCTCTAGACTCACCCATAGATATGGCGGTATCTGAATCTGTTTTGAGAAAAGATGAAATTCATTAAATTTGACGACTGTAGTGGATGACTAAATGGTCTTTTACGGCGTTGTCAGCAATGCTTCAGCTGACATTTACAAATTTAGAAAACATGCATAAGAAGTTCACAAAATTATGCAGCTTGTATACTTATCAATCGGTAATGTTCTTTAAATCAATGAATGATGAAGATAAAGCCGTTTTGCTTCAAGAAAACATTTTTTATTAATGTAGATGAAGAAAGGTCAAGCTGACCTTGGAAAATATTGGTTAGAAAATGTTTGAGTAAAGAAGATGGAAAACAGAGAAAAGAATACGGATCTATAAGAACCTGACACACCATATATTCTCACCTGCCTGTCCTGATGGTAGCCGTGTTTACTTTAATCCTTGCATATATATTCTCACCTGGCTGCCGAGTAGCCGTGTTTACTTTAATCCTTGTATATATATTCTCACCCGGCCCTGAAGTGGTAGCCGTGTTTACTTTAATCCTTGTATATATATATTCTCACCTGACACTCCAGTGGTAGCCGTGTTTACTTTAATCCTTGTATATACATCCTCACCTGACCACCTTGATGTTAGCCGTGGTAATGATGTTTTACACCCTTCCTTTCCTCTTCGTCTGAACAGCCAGAGGCGGAGGCCCTTTTCTTCTTCCTCTTCTTCTCCTGGTACTTCTCCTGGTATTCTGCGGGTACCCTAATGCAAGTCCTGAACACCTATATATGGCAGAAACAGGCTACGTTTAGTGATAGTGATGACACATCCATTATATTGTGATAAAACAATTGTTCCAATCACGACAATAATTTCAATTTGGTAACGATATCTCTTAGAGGTACAGGTAACTATGAGATAATAATAATAATAATAATAATAATAATAATTGGCTTGTATAGCGCCTAGTTTCCATCATAGATGCTCAACGGCGCTGCATACATCGTTAAAAACACAATAAGTGTGAAAAGAGTTCTATTCAGAAGCCATCTTGAAGAAGTAGGTTTTGAGCAAGTTCTTGAATTTTGAATGGGACTCAGTTCGTCTGAGGGTGACTGGAAGATTGTTCCACAGAGCTGGTGCTGCTACAGAAAAGGCTCTATCACCCATTGATGTTTTAGTGCTTGGCTGTGTTAGTCTTAACGTATCTTTTGATCTAAGAGCTCTGGTGGGTACATGCAGATGTACAAGCTGGCGAAGGTAGTCACAGGACTGGTCATCGTAGAGGCAGTTATGAGTCAGTAGCAGAATCTTGAAGTAGATCCTGTACTTTACTGGAAGCCAGTGAAGGGATTTCAGAACTGGCGATATATGGTCATAGCGATGGGTTCAAGAGACCACACGAGCTGCTGCGTTTTGAATTTTCTGCAATTTAGAAAGTGTTGAAGATGCCGTGTTGCAAAAGAGTGAGTTGCAATAGTCCAGCTATTGAGATTACAAGTGATACATCTGTTCATAACTGAAAATGATGATAATGTTGATATGAATATTGAGTTATAGATTGGCCTTCTAACTGAACCGCGTCCGTGGTGTAGTGGTTAAAGCGTCCGCCCGGAGAGCGGAAGGTCGCGGGTTCGATCCCCGACAGCGTCATACCAAAAGACGATAAAATATGGTACTTGTTGGTCCCTGCCTTGCGCTCGGCTTTAATGGGTACAACAAGGACTGGTCGGCTCGGAGTCAGTATAATGTGTCTGAGTGGGGTATTCATGCTTCACTGCGGCGTGGTATCTCAGTGGGCTAGCACTATAAAACCAGCTTGAGTCTGGGCTAGTACAAGCAGCCGCACATACACATACACACGCATGCACGTCGTCATATGAGCGAAATATTCTCAAGCACGACGTAAAACCCAATTTCACCTCACCTCACCTTATAACTGTACATGAATAACACTGTAGTCTTAATACTTTGTGGATGAATGGTCATACATACTATTCTATGTACATGGGGATATAAACAACAAGACATTTCTTCCTATGCGGAATTGAATTCGTTTTTTTAAATACTTAAATTCAAACTTCTTTTTTCAAATTAAGTAAGGAATCCTACTAAGTCATCTGAAGCTCCCCAAACACCCAGTAGAAATCTAAATACATTCAAACGCCGTTGTATCAAAATTGAAGGGACCTAGGTGACTACTTCGAGTTATCAAAGGTTCGAGACAAACAAAAATGTTGACTAAATACGCAGAGACCGTAAATTCGGTCTAAATACAGTCAAACGCCGTTGTATCGAAATTGAAGGGACCTAGGTGACTACTTCGAGTTATCAAGGTTCGAGACAAACAAAAATGTTGATTAAATACGCAGGGACCGTAAATTCGTAAACCTTCAAAGTTCGACACAACTGTATTTGATTAGAGAAAATGGATATTTAGTTATTCTATGACATGTATCTGGGTCTTTTTTACTTTGAGTATAAGTTAAGTGATTAGTGTTGTATACCTGTACGGCTGATCGAACCCATCTGGTCACACGGCCCATGCTTAGGTTGTTAAAGACTGAAACGGAAGCAGGGCAAATATATACTGAAAGCCATTAAAAATGCAATTTGACATTCATACTTTCTTTACTCACACCAATTTCAACATATATAAACCTAACTGGCAGATATGTTTTAAGTGAACATCTGTGAATAATTTCATCTGAAAATGTCCAGTCAACAACAACATCAGTGACGCAACAACGACATCACACAAAGGAGGGGTCACTTGCAGTCAATATCGTGTGTGTCCACCGTGCGCTGCAAGACATGCTCGCAGTCTTTGGGGCATTGAAAGACACACATTTCTGTTGGATGGTCTGCAGACTCTGATGGTCTGTGGTCTGATCATGACACCACCCCTCCAAAACGATCATGTTCAAGGACACAGTTTGGCGCAAGTCTTTCTCCTTTACGTCGATAAATCTGTTGACGTCCATCTCCAAAGGATAAGTTAAACCTGGATTCATCTGAAAAAATGACATCTGGCCATGTCATGTTGCCAAGATTGGCCCCATTTGCTGCCCATCGCTGTCTGGCAAGTCTGTGGCGATGCAATAAGGTTGGACCACGGTACGGGTGACGACACCGGATGTTGAAGGCAGCAAGGCGTCCTTGCACCTTTGGGGCGCTGAAATGACGTTGACTTGTCCCAATTGTCCTCCTTGCCTAATCATCAGCTGTTTGGAACCGATTTTGCAAGTGTGAAACTCGGATATTGCGGTTTTGTCGAGCTGTTATCACAGGTGGTGCACCAGGTCGCGGACGATCAGCAACACTTCCGGTAGCCCGAAAACGTTGTCTGAGTCGACTTACAGTGGATGGATGCACATTAAAGTGCCTGCCAATCATCACATCTGAAGCACCTTGGCTGACCATACCGATAACCTGATTCCTTTCGTCTTGTGTCAAGTGTGGCATTTTCTCAAAGTGATTGAGTTCCACAGTTCCTTGTGCTTTTACAGGGCCTGGGTGCAGGTAATGTATGTGCACAACGTGATTCATGAATGTGGTTGTGTTTACGAGAAATGTATCAAAGTTCATGTGAGAGGAATGCTCCGGGACTCGAACTCGAAATGGGCCAGAATAACAGCCTTTTATCCCTACATCCTCTGTATCGCAGGAAAAAATCTTCAATAGAATTTTTGTAAGTTTCAGGACAACAAATACCAATTGCGTTTTTAATGGCTTACAGTAAAGTTAACTGAGAATAATTTGTAACCATGGCGACTGGTAAATGTAGGTTTAGATAAACACTAAGAACTGGTGACAATCAAAATTTAATCATTGGTCCTGCACAAAGTGACAGCCGCACCATCACTAAATAGGTAGATAAAAGCGGTACACTCAAAACATACAAGTAAGCAAACAATAAACCTCCACCATCATCATCAACAACAACAACAACAACAACAACAACAACAAAAACACTCCTAATCTGCAACAACAATAACGCGTCATTTTTCAATGGGAGCAGCTGCCTTACGGGTCACTCTGTTTTGTTATTTCATCGTTTACAGATAAATTATGAATAGATTACCTTGGGCAGGTTTAAAGAACCACTAAACTTTGTTTTTTGTTACTCTTTTAACTATTACATATGAAAGATTTGTGGTTAGTCTTATGCGGAACACCAAATTTATTCTTTAAAAACTTGTGGTTAATTAATACCGAGCGATTAAAAGTGGCCAAAAAGTCGCCTGCTTCCCTCTCGCCCGCCAACGAAACCACAGATAGGTTACGTAACTCTGTCGCCAGAGCACTTCAGTGACGTCATATGAGGAACGATTTTCAGTTAGTTGTATAGAAAGTGTGTAGCACGCTCATCATTTTGATGATTTCTCGACATCAACGACGACATGCCGAATCGTTGCTTTGTCGTCAATTGCTCCTAGGGGTCGGGCGATGGTGTCCCCATGCACAGATTTCCACAGGACCCCGCAGTTCGTGCTAAATGGGTTATGTTTGTGAGTGCGAAGCGAGCGTTGTGGAAGCCTGAAACGATATCTTACTTGTGTTCAGATCGCTTCACGGAAGTTACAGAATCAAAACTACTTACTAGTTGTAGTAAAATATGTATATGATTGATGACCATAAAGATTTTCCATGACACAACTTGTAACATAACGATTTCTTCCTCGGAAGTCAGGTTGTGGTCGAAGTAACAGTAATATTGTAAGTAGTATTATATTGACACCCACCTCGCTGCCAGGAGGGAAATTCTTATGTTATACGCTATGTCATGCAAAATCCTATTGGCCATCAATAAAATACATATTTTACTACAAGTAGAAAGTAGTTTTGATTTTGTAACTCGGTAAAAACACACGTAAATACCATTTATCCTCAGACTGGCGGATGTTCCCGACAGGGCGCCGCCATTTTTAAAAATAAAAAAATCTGTTAGAATTAATGTGATTATAGTTTGTTTTCATCAAGTTAGAAAATCAAAACTACTTTCTACTCGTAGTTAAATATGTATTGGAATCATAACCAAACGGATTTTGCATGACACAACTTATAACATAACGATTTCTTCCACGGAAGCGAGGTGGGGGTCGAAGTCACAATACTGCGCGATAAATTTCTTGCTACATTCACATGGTTAATGTCCACTCACCAGTATGTAGATACTAGTCAATGTGCGTCTTTATATTTGGTCTTATAATCCTAATTAGTTTATTATCATACTTGTATGCATTTTGAAACTAAATAAAAAGCAGACGATCTGCTGATACTTATAGTGAATTTATAACAGAACTGTAATATCTAGACATTTTATAGTTTGCCAGTGTGAATCATAATTCGCACACACACCCTAGTGCATGTTGTCTGTCTCATTACACTTCACGGCGAAACAATGATTCTGTTGAATGCTACGACAAATGAATAAAAACAAAATGCAAATATTAAAATTAAAACAGATTAAAGTTATAGGAACAATATCAGGCTATTACCTTGTTCGAGGAATGTATCCATCAATATCCACAAAACTGTTCCAAATGATGTGTCTTTTAACAGTTTAATATACGAAAAAGTGATAAATCTTTTCAGGTATTGGTGTATAGTCTCATTGGTCACCCAAGATAGCACACCTGGCAACTAATTGCATAATGTCCGCCTTTCTTTAAAAACAGTAATTTAGTTAGCCAATAATGGGCAATCAATCAATGTATTGCCGGTTAATCCTTTGAAAGAAGGACGTTGTTTTTACGCATACACCGACAGAGTGTATTCAGTATAGATTAGTAAATCTACATACATAAACACTACCTTTTGACAATTCCGCTGTGTAAGATAAAAGTAATTAATCAATCAGCGTGTTATCGGTTAATCCTTTGATCGATGTTTATAATGTTGAATTATTACTCCAGACACAAGAAATGCCAAATGGGAACCTTTGTCGGGTAATCTAAGTGTGTTACCACCAATTATACCTGTTATAAATTTATTAACTGACCATCAAGTGAATGATGACAAATAACATGTGTAGGTTCATACCACCTAACACGGGTTACAACAAGGGAGTATTAAATGCTGTATTGCATGTGAAAACTTATGGGCCGACACTGTTTTGAGAATACAAACAGATTTTTACATGACATGATTAAATATCGAGGTAAAAAAACACAGAAATGGGATCAATTTGGATCAGTCATTATACAAATAGGGCCTAACGACACCAATCGATTTTGACAGAATCGTCTATGAAAACAAGTTGTAACTCAGAAACTAGGCAAAGCAGGAGACAAAATTAAATGACAGTAGATTGTGAGAACATATAGCTTTCATTTTCCACAACAATTGTCACGATTTCAGTTTTATACAAGCCTGTAAACAAGATAATTTAACTCCTAAAATGTAGATGAATTCTGCATCGGCCCTCATATCTATTCCTCATATGACGTCACAGAGGCGCGCCGCTCTGATTGGTTGAAATTTCGTTTGCGGGTGAGAATTGTGCACTGTTGTCAAAAAGGTCGATTTAAGTCAATTAAAGGTCGAAATGAGTAGTTTTAATGACGGGGTTTCATTTATAACGATGCCAGTTAGTGATTTATGTATTTTTACCCCCTAGGGTTTATGTGACCTTTAAATACTTTTCCATTTTGCTCGCCTGAGATAATATTATGGTCGGTCGGTTTAGTGAGGAACAATAATACATATATTGCAGAACGTTTACTTGGTCAGCATTGATTGTCTGTCTCATGGTCCAGGCACCATATTGATTTCCTTTCCGCCCAGCCCTTACTGTAAAGCTGTACAGTCATGTGTGAAGGAATTCTAGGTTCACGGCCTGTTATCATAAACTTTGCAAAGAGACTAATTATATAACTCGCTTCACTTCAGAATCTTCAATATCACGGGTGCTCATTTTCATTTGTATGTAGTGGCATGTTTCGGTCAAACTTATATACTTCATACACTAAGCTTTACTCTGATTTCATCATTGTATTTTTCTGTTGGTTTTGTGGGCCTCCGGTCTGTGGATATTTTGTGGGACACCTGCAGTTTACGGGTCCCCAGACGTTAAATATAACGACTTACCTTACAGTCTTATCGGTGTTGAACACTGGTATCTAGTAATCCTCGTTTCAGCTGACACACCTTGAGCAGAGCAGCAATGTTGCCTTCGAGCGTGTCTTTGTTGACAGAAGGATGACGTCATAGAACGACACCGTGACGTCATTTAGACTTGAAGTTGTATTAAGCTGGGCCCCGTCTTGCATATCGCAATATACGCAAGTTGGCGCGCGGAAAGGGAGCCGGGAACCAGCTTAGAAGTTGTATAAGATAAAATAAGATAAAACTTTATTATCCCGGAAGAAATTATTTTTGCATCAAAACGGTCTTAAAAATGAATATATACACAATTCACAAAATTATAAACAATAATTACATGCACAAAATGAATGTTGGTTACACACATATATATACAATAAAACTGACATGTTTCAATATAATTAACCACACAGGTAAAGAGGCTGAATAATTCTAGTAGTTATTACATGATCATCATTCAAAACATTTGTTGCATTCACGAATACTGGACGGTATGAAAGACTGTCGAGCTCTGTTTGTTTTGAGGGAAGATAATCGAAAGCGGCGTCCAGAAGGAAGAAGTTCAAAATGGTGAGATAAAATATGGGTACTATCGATTCTAATTTTAGTTGCCTTTTTGACAACCTGGCTCTCATAGATAAAGGGAATATACTCGAAATACACTCCATCAATTTTGCTGGCAGTATTAACAACTTTGAAAACTTTGTTTTTGTTGCGAGCAAACAGACTCCCCATACCAAATAGAAAATTGTACGTCAGCAAACTTTGAATAAAGGTTTGATAAAAAAACCGATCATTATGGTTTTGTCAACAGAAAAGTTTCTTAAGCGGCGAAGAAAATAAAGTCGCTGTTATCCGTTTTTGTAAATGTTTGTAATGGCCCACTCCTTCAATTTCTGCATTATCAACAATAAGAGGATGTAGAGGTTCCTTATTTCTCTTAAAATCAACCACCATTTCCTTAGTTTTCTTTACAGTCAGAAAAAGAAAATTGTCTTTACACCAAGATAGAGATTTTTCAATGCCTTGACGATAATTATGTTCAGAATCAGAAATTAGGTTAGCAACAGCGGCGTCATCTGCGAATTTCACATTAAACACGTCATTTAATGACAAGTAACATTCATTGGTATACAAAATGTGGCTCCAACGGAAATTTCGCTTTAGAAGTTGCATCCTAAATAATAGTTAAGTGGAATGAATCCAGACCAAAAGTGTCTTCATATGAGTGTTTGGGTCATACTGAAGCTAGAAGAGCTGATGACGGGTAGGCGTCTGACAGGGTGAGACGGCGAGGTGGATTCTCCCAATTCAATTCCTCCCGACAGTGAGGAGCTTTGTGACTTCAGCTGTTTCAACTTCAAATGGACTCCTGATTTCGGTGACGCGACACTGATAAACATGATCAGCCTGGCTTCAGAACCTGAACCTATTCGTTTCCAGAACTGATGGCTGAGCATTATTTCTCGACATTGATGAAAATATTCACCATATAATTTCGTACTCACACAACAGTGTATGTAATTTTGTAATTCAATTAAGCTGGAATAAAATATAAAAAGAAAATGAAAAACAACTTCATTTGAAGATTCTACCTGCAGGACACCTTTAGAAGGGATCCCCACATGGGTAGAGTGTGTGAGGCCCATTGCTGGTGTCCCCCGCCGTGATATTGCTGGAATATTGCTAAAAGCAGCGTAAAACCATACTCACTCACTCACTTTAGAAGGGATGGACGAGAAGCTGATGCGCAGGCTAAATGACTGGCTTTAAATCCAAAACTATATTTATCATTTTTGTTGGAAGGAAATTAAAGTTAATTCAGCTTCTCATGGCAGCGTCACTCCAGCATCAATTGTACTCCAATATACTACCACAACCTTGATTATACCTCTTCATCTGAAGCTTCTAAGATCTCCACTTAGGTGCCTGGAAACTAGATGTATCACATAGGGTTACAATTCAGCCTAGCTTCTAGAAGTTTGCCCCCAATGCCGTGGTACAGTTTCAGAGGCATTCCTCCTCCACAATCCACTACAGCCAGTGTCAAAAGTTCCGACAGTGGAGTAGAAGATGGAGCAGATGGATGGAACTATTCCTATTGTAGCAGACTACACAAAAAAGTCTTACCCAGACTTTTGGAATCCCCTCTTTTGAAAATGCCACAAGATCACATTGAAGTTAATGTTTTGCATTGGCGGAGCCAAATGGGGCTTCAGAGAGTTCGAAACCCCGACCCCCTTGAAAATTCCTGGATCCGCCTATGCCACCCATCCAGTCCTTAATCAACTCATGAAGTCATTTCGACTTGCAGACCTCAAAACACTCCGAACATTTTCTCAGGAGGAATCAGTCCCTCCTCCGGTCTGCTCTTATGGGTGCACCATGAGCCCTTGCACCTGGCAACTCTTCTCCATTTTCCTTGTATATAAGATAAGAAGACTCCCATTTTGCTTGCCATGGCAACAACAGCTAGACCCTGCATTGGGGAGGGATCACTCTATATGCTGAAGTTTTTTTAGTACCGTTAATTTAATCTCCATTCACAACCAGCTGTGCTTAACACTTTAGTGCCATCAACATATAAGTTTAAAATACAAAACTGTTTTAATTATATACAGTGCCAGACTTCATTATAAGACTATTATTGGTGTCCTGACAAAACCAACTGAAAACCCCTACAAAGTTTGACTGAACCAGTGCTGCTTCACTCAATATCTCTGCTGGCACTGGCACAATGCTAACCTCAACATTTGATACCTCACAATGTGTGTTCGGTTCCAAATTTAATTTAGAATGGTTTAATGTACAGGTAATTTAGCTCAAGTTTGAAACAACATTATGTTTATGTCCCAATTTGTTGTCCTGAAATTTGATTTGTAAGTAACTGAAAAGTGTAACTGACAAAAGAAAAGTGAAAACCGTAACATACACATAAACAGTTTTTTATTTTATGTAACAATTCACAATAATAACAATTATTCAAAAAATTTGAATCTACAATCATCATTTACAATTACAAAATCAGCATAGAAAACAGTTTACTAAAAATAATCCAATAAATAATAAAGACCTCTCATTTCAAAGATAGATAGTGAAATACATATAAAAAGGTGGGAAAAAATTCTATTCACCTAAGAAAATGGTCCCCTTAACTCATAAACATAAATCTTATAAGGTCAACCCAGTTTAAACCAATTATATTTTCATCTTTTTATTCCCAAGCCTCCATCAAATATTGCTGAAGTAAAAAAGCCAAAACATCTGCAAAGTAATTTACACATTCAAAAGCACATTTCTATTTATCATTTTATTCACAAAACAGTTTTCACATTATCATATACACCATCTTGTTGTAAATGATAATTCAATCCTAACATTTTTTAATAATGCCTTCTGTCTTTTGGTATGTTGACGAAGACAATTCATTTAACAAGACCATGGGTTGATCTAATCATCATTTGCAATAAATAACATGGTAAATCACAACTTGGGTATTACCATATATCAGAAAATATAAACACTGACCTGATGACATATCTAGGCTGCTAAAACGTAACAACTAATATAAAATAGAAAGATTGTTTGGTTAAAATAATGAAATTCAAATGGACTTATTACTGGCAGGTACTCTCAGATGTCATGGGTGTGGCAAAACTTTAACTGGAAGCTGATTGTCATATATCAAGGCTTTTATCATGGCAGTATGAATTTGACATGATGCCGATTATGACTTCAGAACACTTGCCATGACATCAATTAGTCATGATTTCAAAACATTTCACTGAATAGAGACTCGTAAGACTTCCAAAGGTTTTATCGCATTGAGTCACTTAGGACATTAAACATATCACAATAAGCCACGTCATCAAAACATTTCATCACATTGAGCAACTTATGGCAACACCGTTCACTGTATCTCCTACTGAAGGAGTTTCATAAATATGGTATTACATGGGACAAAGTTTAGTATTTTATTTATTACTCATGCAACATTAGCAAAATAATATCGAGCAAAGTACTTCTTTCCTAAGAATTCAACGAGTGTGATGAGTCTAAACTTTCCGCGAGTCAAGCAAGGTCTAATATTATTGTGACAGAGGTATCAGCCTTGTGACGTCATAACTGTAAACCACTTTGACGTCATACGTACAGCATCACGCGATGTTATTACACAATGTGTAATAACATTGTAAAATTATTAAACAGTGATATCTTCAATGGGTGAGTAGTAAATTAGGGTAGGATATACAGGGAAGTAACTCTCTTTTTAACAATAAATGTGTTAAAATAAATATATGTGTTCTAGTATTACCGTAAGTATATTATGTGCATCTGTATACTTATAAATTTTATTGTAGTCTTCCGACTGATTTTCTGCTAAAAAGTAAATAAGTTAGTGCACCATATCTGTGAAATATTAATATATTTTGCAAATACATATACACTGTACTCTGAAAATGTCACTTAGAACACCAGATTATGTCATATTCTGAAATATGTCTGAGTATAAACATAAAAGACAACAAAGCATGTAACAATTAGAATGTAATAAATTTACATTAAAACTCTGACCAAATATTTATATTAACAATTGTCAGGTAAAATACCTGTTTCAGACCATGTAGAGATCATGTGAAAGCATATCTGTAGATGTACAATATTAAGAGCAAACGGTTTAAATAATAACATCATGTGCACAATCATGTATAAATAACTTTTTAAAACATTTTGATCACAGAAACAAACACACTGAAATAACTCAAACTAAAAAATCAACAAGTCAGTATCTCATTCAGTAAACAACAGTTCAGAAACTATTGGTCAAGAAGATAGCAATAAACAATATATGTCTGGACAATGGATATGTATGTAAATTAAATTTTATACACTCCAGTGCATAACTTTGTTCCATGAAAGCCCTCTAAACATTATTAACATCCTTGTCATATTTCACATAAATGAAAAAAGGATATTTAAAAAAATCTATTTTGTTTACCCATATTAAAATAAAATTAAACAAATTTGTCACATCTTACTTATTCGATTGATCTAATCATGTATGTTTTTTGCTTAACACAGTTTTTAAATATTCTACACATTTAGATAAACATAATGTCATGAATTTTTTCTCCTTCACTCAGAACATATCCTAAAATGTGGAAAACTTTTTCAATTTGTCCATTTATCTTACATATACAATGGTTGTATCGTTTGACCTGAGACATTGAATGTGATATTGAAAGTTCTTTGTTTTTTTATTTAAGTAGGTATTTCCGCATTCAAAAATTATGCCATCATACAGTCATTTGACAAGAGTTGGCCTATTGGTATTTAAACTTCAGTAATGTTTATATTTATAATTATATATTCGAGTGAAACGATCATTATGCTACTCATCATTATGTGTTCGTCATAGCATTGAGAGGATTAAGTCAATGTCTTAACACATCACATACACCCTTTTATCACAGGATTCGCATCCGCTGATTGATAAGGAACTTACAGCAACAAATATGACAGCTTGGATATTACTGGTCACTGAAAGTAATGTGGGTGGTTACAGGTGCACAGACAAAAAACAGATGTCTAACATAAATATGGAGTTAATTCATATCAATCATGCAATATAGATCAGTGATCAGATTTGTTCCCACTTGGACCATGCAATCTTAGCACCAAAACTATCCTAACTCTATGCTACAGACACCAATACTATACAGCAAATTTCAAATCCTTCCTTTTCGCAGTTGCTGTGACCGTTTTTACAGCTTTTAATATTTTTAGGTTACACTGATACAGTTTCATGGATGAGTCTGTCATAGATTACAATGGAACATGACTGGAACTGGAGCTAACATCACTGTTGTCTAAGATTCAAAAGTGGTTACAAAATCTAAAAATGTGTTTAAACTATTAATTCACAACGTGAATATAGAAAATAGGTACCAACTATATAGAATACCCTTCGGTTTTGTGGACAGGATGTTTGTTCAAATATAATTTTTCCCTGAATGGAAGAGACAAGCATCAATGCCTGAACATAAAGCTACAAACAAGTAACATTTATCACATCTTAATGGTCCTCTCAAAGTCTAAGGTTAAATCGTAAACTGATAACATCAAGATTATTTCACTTTCAATAAAGCTGTGACAAGATCATGGTTCTACACTAATGATTTCTGTTGATTTGCTAATGTGCCTCCCAGTACATACATGCATGTAACCATGGAAACTGTTATTTATATTCTATCATACATATTATATATATTCCAGGCGTGATATGCAACTCAATAATGGCGATTATACACTGATTATGTTGATACAATGATACAAAGAACACATACATCCTTCAAAATGTTGTCAGGTACGTGCTGAGTTTAAGTCACGTGGACCGTACTATTACTGTTAATATTTAGTATTTACTAACATAAACTGACATCCTAGGGACTATGGACATTTATTGCCTTGTCCTGGAATATAGGACTTGGTACAGATGTTCAACATGTAGTCCGAGAAAAAAAAGTTTTCTCAGTTAAAAATATATCCACAAAAAATTACACTATATATGACCGTAGATAAGCTGAATTTTGAGGACTAAAAACATCAGTCTGTAGAAAGGGGGCTGCTTATGTATGGAGTACACTTTCATCAAACTTATTTTTCTGGTGGTAATTAAAACGAGACCAGAAGAATGCTTCATTGCAGGCTGAGGCAATCTATACTGGCTAAATCATTGTAGACTGGATTTGGGCTCAGTTTTGAATAAATTCTCCAGGGTTTGAGAACCAGACTAGCTATTCTCGAAACGTTCGTAGCCCTACGAACTTCTTAAACCCATTCTTAACAAATTGGCTACAATCCAAGTTACATATTCTTTGGGCTGCGAACGTTTCGAGAATAAGGGCCCTGACTAATGCTGACATGTACATCTATATAGTTGTCAGCAAGAATGACACTTCAACATAAAGAGCACCTGAATATACCTGTCCCCATCTGTCATGTTACATATTCTTCTGAGGTAAGAATTCATGACTGCATTGTACAAACAGGAATACAAAAAAGACTTCTAAATGCTTGCTGAATGTTCCAAACTTGAAATGTATCACAATACTAAGATGTTATGGAACTCAATTGATCTTGTTTTACATGCGCAAGTTGACGTCTCGATTGCCGCGGTTGATGCTGTCCCTGTCTCCTCCCCAGCCGACAGCTGTCTGTTCAGAGACTTAGGCAAATCCTCTTCTTCTCCTTCTTCAACCTGCTTCTTGGCAAAGTCCAGGAACACCTGAAACATCCAGGCCATTGTCAGTCTGTGTTGTTTAATGCACACTCAGCAACATTCCATTGATATGGCAGTGTGTGAATGATTGAATCTGGACCGGACTATCAAGATGTCAGGACAAACAATCAGCACCATTTGGGAACAATATCATATAATGAGGGAAAAAAAATATAAAGGGATCACATGAAAGCTCAAGTGTTCCATTATTTGTTTCCAGGTTTATTCACAAGCGTTGTAATGCATAGCTTGAAAAAAATGAAACCTGGAAAAAAATAAAGGAACGCTTGTGCTTTCATGTGATCCCTTATATTTTTCCCTCAGTATATTGAAAGCAAGTCAAAACACACTGAGCGGTGATACAGCTCTCAGACATGTACTTTGATGGTGTAACCTTAGACCACAGGTACATATAGTGCTGGCAACCTAGAAACATAATCGAGATGAACCAGGATTTGAACCCACGTTAATATGTCTCTTGCAGAGCAAGTAAGAAGAAGAATGTACCTCATGTGTCCAGCTGGATGATTAAATAATGAAGACACAAATATTTTATAATAAAATCCCACTGATGACTCTAAGTCCCCACAGAACCTTGCTTTCTTGACAAATGAAGCCTGATTTCCTTACCAGGGAGGTTGGGTAGCCTAATGGTTAAAGTGTTGGCTTGTTATGCTGAAGGTCCAGGTTTGATTCCCAAAATGGGTACTTTTGGTGTCCCCTCCAATGTTATTATTGGAAAGTTTTTCACAAACGTGTGTAAGACCACACTCCCTCACTCACTCCTCTACTCACCTGTTCCAGAACCACACTGTAAGACCACACTCCCTCACTCACTCCTCTACTCACCTGTTCCAGAACCACACTGTAAGACCACACTCCCTCACTCACTCCTCTACTCACCTGTTCCAAGGTTGACTGACTGAAACTGTACTCCTCCACATCATGAGTATGCTTAGCTGAGGAAAGATGACACATTAACTATAAAATAATGGGGAAATTACATGACAGCAATTCAACCAATACTAGTAAAGGAGAAAGCTGTTTGTATACATAAAATATGTCCACCTGGAATATAAATAAAACAACAACAACCATATTCCTCAAAACGGCCAAAAGTACTGGATAATTATATGTTATATGTGGCCAAAGATGTTCCATCTTTTCAACAGAAATGAATAACCTTCATATGTTTGAGTTATGAAGAACACATCATAACCACTCACTTTGTTCAAGGGAGGAGAAAGTTTCTGCTAAGGATTTGACATCATCCTTGGGTATCTTGTACTGTCCTCGTTCCTCGAATCTCTCCAGACAGGAGGCCTGTGGAAACAGAGACACCAAGTGTCTCTCCAAACTGTCCATCCTGGTCTCAATGTCTTGTTCATGATCCCCGGTCTTCAACTTCACCAGACCCCCCAGACACCAGGAGGTAGCCACTACCATACATTTGTCCTTCAGATGCTGTGTTGGCCCCAGATTCACAATATTCTCCGGGTAACTACTTCGAACCTTGTAATATTACTGTTTATAAACTTCTGGCTGATGCTGTCAAATCCAAATGAAATTTCCAAGCATCGAATACTAAAAACCTGCAAAATATCTGAAAACACATAATGTTTATTGCAAATGGAAAATGCAATGTGGTGTTGCTGCAATAGGTTTAGGGACAAGGAATGACCTCTAGTGCACATTCATTCACTCACTCCATCCTTCCATTGACCATGATAGCGACCCTGGAACAGAGAGCATCGGCCTCCTCCATGTAGTGGGTGGTGAGGATGGCACCCCGCTTGGTGCCCTGGAAACTCGCGCTGATTGTATCCCTGAAAATATAGACATATGCAGCCGGTGTTCCTCATAATAAAGAAATTGACATCCATAGACTCTCTTCCTTAGCTGAACAGAATCTGTGTAACCTTTTATATATGAACTACTTAAAAAAATGTTTTACCTTGCAATTAAGAGTATGTAAGTTAACTAGCATGTTCTAGGCCTAATTGGTTGGTGGCAGTAAAACAATATGTTCATTTGGTACTGAAGTAAGTTGAGGACAGTCTAATTCCTGTAATTAAATTATCTATTTGTTACAGTTTATTTCAGTACAACAATATAAATAGTGAATGAGTGAGTGAGTGAGTTAAGTTTTACGCCGCACTCAGACAATATAAATAGATACATGTTTATGTAAATGCAGTGATGATTTAAATGAAATATGAATGTAAAATTGACTGTTTTGCCAAATTGTATCAACATTTCTTAAATGATCCCATTCATTCTTACTTCCGACTTTATGATGGCAGGGACTGGTATTTTTTGTTAGCGTGTCAGGTGCCTGGGCAGTTGGATTCAAGGTGAGGCTCATTTAAAGTTTATTTGCAGAATATCATTATTTATCCAGTTTTAAATGAATACAATTTCAAATTATAAATCTACGTTTAAGTAAAGTTGCAAATTTTTGTGATCCTTAGCAAAGTGTGAGCAGTATACAGTTCTAATGTCCGCAAAGTTAAGGTTAGGTGTCACCAAATGCATTGGCAAGATGAAAGATCAACTAACCACAGGAATCTCTTGGACTGAGGGTCCATCCCAGTGGAAGGTTCGTCAAGCAGCACGATTTCTGGACTGCCCAGCATGCTGATGGCATAGCTCAGCTGTAACCATGGCAACAAAAGAAGCAGAATAAAGATGTTGGTTTCCTGTCCTTATATACAAATTCATGTGTCTTTAATGATGTTACTTTGATTATAAAATGTTCTACCTCCACTGCTAGTCAACTTTCTGCCACTATTTGTCCTTTCCACTGCTAGTCAACTCTTTCTGCCACAATTGCATTTGTCCTTTCCAGTACCCCAAGAACACACCCTGTCCCCCACCCTCTGTTACCCTTCTGTCCCTCCACCCACAACACACCCCTCTTCCCCTCCTCCACCCACAACACACTTCTCTGTCCAGTCCACCCACAACACACCCTTTTCTCTGTCCATCCACCCTGGCCACACCCTTCTCATGTCCCTCTGCACCCACAACACACCCTCTGTCCCTCTGTCCCTCCACCCACAAACAGCCACCCTCTCTCTGTCCCTCCACCCACAACACACCCTTCTCTGTCCCTCCACCCACAACACACCCTTCTCTGTCCCTCCACCCACAACACCCTTCTCTGTCCCCTCCACCCACAACACACACCCTTCTCTGTCCTCCACCCACAACACACACCCTTCTGTCCCTCCACCCACAACACACCCTTCTCTGTCCCTCCACCCACAACACACCCTTCTCTGTCCACCCACCACCCTTCTCCACTCCACAACACACCCTTCTCTGTCCACTCCACACCGTTCTGTCCCTCCACCCACAACACACCCTCTATGTCCCTCCACCCACAACACACACCCTTCTCTGTCCCTCCACCCACAACACACCCTTCTCTGTCCCTCCACCCACAACACACCCTTCTCTGTCCCTCCACCCACAACACACCCTTCTCTGTCCCTCCACCCACAACACACCCTTCTCTGTCCCTCCACCCACAACACACCCTTCTATGTCCCTCCACCCACAACACACCCTTCTCTGTCCCTCCACCCACAACACACCCTTCTCTGTCCCTCCACCCACAACACACCCTTCTCTGTCCCTCCACCCACAACACACACCCTTCTCTGTCCCTCCACAACAACACACCCCTTCTCTGTCCCTCCACCCACAACACACCCTTCTCTGTCCCTCCACCCACAACACACCCTTCTCTGTCCCTCCACCACAACACACCCTTCTCTGTCCCTCCACCCACAACACACCCTTCTTCTGTCCCTCCACCCACAACACACCCTTCTCTTCTCTGTCTGTGTCCCTCCACCCACAACACACCCTTCTCTGTCCCTCCACCCACAACACACCCTTCTCTGTCCCTCCACACACAACATACCCTTCTCTGTCCCTCCACCCACAACACACCCTTCTCTGTCCCTCCACACACAACATACCCTTCTCTGTCCCTCCACCCACAACACACCCTTCTGTCCCTCCACCCACACCATACCCTTCTCTGTCCCTCCACCCACAACACACCCTTCTCTGTCCATCCACCCACAACACACCCTTCTCTGTCCATCCACCCACAACACACCTTCCTTTTTGTTCCTCCAGAGAGCTTCTTGGCTCCTTTCTTGGCGTGTTCCTGAACCTTCAGAGATTCTATCAAGCTGAAACACAACCACAGCATAAATTTGAAACAATGTACAGATATTTTGTTGTTTTATGGGTTTGGGTGTGTGGGTGTGTGTGCTTGATATGTGGGGATGGGTGTGTGTGTTTTGATTTAATTCCACACTGGGTATTCTTAAAGTCATCACCCTGCAAAGTGATGACACCCGATTACCATCTTTCAAATTACCTTGCTGTCAGACAAATCAAGGAACTCAGCAGCTTCCGTTCCACCCTGAAAACCATCCTTTTCTCCAGAGCATATGACTAAGCACACTTAAACAGGGTTATCTCTGGATATGATATGCTACATACATATCCAATTACTTTATTATTTATTATTATAACTTCATGAATGTGGTTTTCTGTAGCTAAGATGAAAGTACATACTTGTCTGCCATGGTGACACTGTCTTCTTTTCTCAGGCCACGGATCATGCCATAGAATTCAAGGTGCTCATGTACAGTGATGTTGTCCCATAATGCATCATGCTGGGCACAGTAGCCCATGGCTTGGAAAGCAGACGACATACTTGACCGTACATTGTTTTCAGCCACCATAACCTGAAACCCAAACGAATCATGTCAGTGTTTTCTTTTTTCCACTCAGCTATATTCCAGCTATAGGACTGCAAATTGTAAATAATCAAAACAGACCAGACAAACCCATGATTGATGTTAATCAGGAAACAATGATACACAATCGCTAGTCAATGAGCCTGACCATGTGATAAAGTCAGTGACCTCATATGATCAGAATAGTTTGGTGACAAGTTCTAACTTATTCATACATTAGTGTCTAGTATGGAGTATCTCAGCTCTCAGCAATATTCCAGCTATATGGCTGCGGTCTGTATATAATCAAGTCTGGACCAGATAATCCAGAGATCAGCATCATGAGCATCGATCTATGCAATTGGGACATGATGACATGTGTCATCCAAGTCAGCAAGCCTGACCACCCGATCCCGTTAGTCGCCTCTTACAACAAGCATGGGTTACTGAAGATCAATTCTAACCTGGACCTTCATGGGTTGCATCTAGCTGAAGGACCTGACCAAGCAGTGATTTTATGATTGTTATTAGGATGTAATCGAGCACAATCTATGTGGCAATTCTAAGCCTGTGACATGCAATTTTCTACATCATATACTAATTCAGGTCCAGCGGGACATAAGGATAACAGTGATTAGTTCCAAAACACATATGGAACAGTTTTACAGAGATGCCAACCCTAATTTAGCCCAATTAGTATTTTGGCCAAAAACTGATGCAAAAATTAGTACTTTTTGGCCAAAATTAGTATTAACTTTTCCAAAGGGTTTTCATATTTAATAAGATATATATATATAGATATTCTAAGAGCTTGTTATTAACAGTGTACTTGCCTAAATCAGTATTAAGTATCCAGATATACCTTGATACTGAATAAAAATGTGGTTGAAATTTATTGTGTATAGTACGAATGCTATTTGATAATTTAATTTAATGTATTTTATTAAAGAATCATACATTTTTACTGCTATCGTACTAGCGTATTTAACGAATACGATAAAATCGTATGGGTTGGCATCTCTGGTTTTATGGTGAGTGAGTTTGGTTTTACGCCACTTTTAGCAAGATTTCAGCAATATCATGGTTGGGGACACCAGAAATGGGCTTCACACATTGTACCCGTGGGGAATCGAACTCGGGTTTTCAACATGACAACCGAAAGCTTTAACCACCTGGCCACCCCACCGAAAAGTGTTTTAACTTGAAACCAAATGAATGCATTCAGAAGTTGAAAGAGTACCAAAAAAAAATAATCATGACTATCCAAAGTAATAAAGTGTCATACACTTCCTTAAAACATTAGTCGTCCAAAAACCATAGTTTCCAAATTACTGCAACAGTCCAGTACCTTTCCTCTGGTTGGCCCCGTCTCAGCAGTGACCATATTGAGAGTAGTGGTCTTGCCAGCACCATTAGGACCCAGGAGTCCAAACACTTCACCACTGTCTACAGCAAACGTTGCATTCCTCACAGCCACGTTGGTCTTTTGCTTAGTTTTTTGACAGAATGTTTTGACGTCCTTAGAAAATTCCTTCCGAAGGTTCTGTACATATGCTACAGGAGCGTCCTGAAAGAGGAAAATCAGAACAAAGATTATACATTGTTAAAAATATGGAGGGAGTGTGTCTTCCCATTTGAAACACTGTCAGTGGAATTGGACCTTGAAAGTGGAGTGAGTGAGTGAGTGAGTGAGTTGGGTTTTACGTTGCTTTTAGCAATATTGCAGCAATATCACGGCAGAGGATACCAGAAATGGGCTTTGGGGTAGCCATGTGGTTAAAGCGTTTGCTCGCCACGCCAAAGAACAGGGTTCGATTCTCCTCATGGATACTATGTGTGAAGCTCATTTCTGGTGTCCCTCGCTGTGTTTATTGCTGGAATACAGCCTTTGTCTGAAGTGTCAAAGCAGTCATGAACCCATGACCAACTACAAGCATACAAAATATATATTTTGTTTAATTTGTAAACTATATGACAATGTACTTTAAATAATTGAGTCTTGACCAGACAAACTACTGATTGACATTGAACGTAGAACACAGTTACATCCTTCAGCTACGTAAGTGAGCCTCACTTGACTAGATAAGTTGATGAAGACCTACCCGGACCACAAACAACTGAATATTTCTACCTGTGCTCCTGTTCGAAGAGAATTAACCCTGCTTCTCTCCTCAGCAACATCTTCATCTTCATTCGATGAGGTCCTGGTTATCCTCTGGGATGTCATTAACTTTGGATTTCTGGAGACAGTTTAAAGCCTCCTTGGATTTGCCTCCAGTGCTTCGTACATCCAGCACCCTCAGCAACAAGTATAGCAACAAGCAGTGGACAATGGGCTGTGGACAACCAGACAGTGCTTTCAAAATGCAATGATCACTTTCAGTATGTCACAAATCCGTTAATAGAGTAACGTATATGACCGTCTATAAGCCTAATTTTGGGGACCAAAAAAAGCAGTCTGTAGAAGGGGGTCGTCTTATCCATGGGTTACGCTTTCGTCAAACTTTTTTCCAGGGGTAAGAAAACAACATCGTATCACTTCGTGTGAACAAACAACAGAAGACGACTTTGTCAGTAGAGACGTCAAATTTGCAATTAAACATCACTAGACAAGATTATTTACCTTTTAAGTTATAAGTTGTTTTTTGCTGGGCATTGTTTTATTTGCAGGGATTAAGATTACCGTGAGTATTTGTCTCGTACACAAAGCCGGAAATAGCAATCAGCTGTGCACACGTTTCCCGGCGAACAAGTTCAAACATGCACAATAATATAACGGGACGAATTCTGACGCAGTCATCAGTAAAATATAATACAGAATACTACTAATTAACCCAAAGAAATATATCCTAGCATTGTGTAATTTTATTTACAGTTTTTATGTAAAATATATATAATCAACACTAAGGTTATACGAACCCTCATGAACGTGGTAAACACATGGAATGGCGTAGGAAGCCATTTAAATTCACACATTTTTACCGATGTTACTGTAAACTAGCGGTCAATGGAAAACGAGGCGGTAATCAGTTCGTGATTGTTGAATGGGGTAAAATAAGCAAACCAGTTTGTTGCTACAATAAATATGATATTTAGAGAAGCAAAATATATTATGCATTTTCTGTCAACTAGACTTCGTTTCGATCCGTGAGTAGACACAATATATATGACAGTGAATTCTTTGAATAATGTGGACCAAAGTTATAATTATTGGTAACTGCCAGTTGTCTGTGGTCTGTGTTTGCCCGCGATTAGGACCCCATCGCGGGGGATCGACTTATGCACGAAACATACCATTTTGACACTGATTCTAAGGGTCAAGTTTGGGGGTCGTCTTATCCATGGGGTCGTCTTATAGACGGTCATATAAGGTATATATTCCTTCTGACATCTAGGGCTGCAACAAATACACTATGTCGCGAATATGATACGTATCACGAATATTGGGTAACGAATACGAATAATTATTCATGAATACAATATTATAGTTCAGTGATTGATGCACAATATGGAACGCCCATGTTGACAGTTTTGATTTGTCACAGCAATAACTAGTGATCTCATGACACTCAAATTTGGTGTGTAATAGTTACAGTTGACAGTACCATGTGCGGCCTTAGCAAACCATATTCCATTACAGCATATCTCACTTTGAAAAAGGACATAAGGGTTCAAGTAAAACAGGCTCCCTTAAAAAATCGTAAATATTCATTAATATTCGGTTCTGGTGACCACAAATAACGAATTGAATTCGTAAAGGCTACGGTTCAATTCACTGAATATGCGAGTGAATCATAACAGCCTTACTGACATCCAAATAAATCGCATTGTCATCAACTCATTACATGAATTTTCACTTTCTGCAAATGTATTCAAAGGAAAATTGATAATAATCTTACCATCAAGATTGCAATCAAGATGTTGTTTTCTCCTTTGAAGTACATCCCGAATTCAGCATCAGTCCTCGTGATGAGGGATACTCTGTGAATCTACAACAAGGTACACAAGATGGGAGTCTGAGCATGCATGAGTGAGTGTGTGAGTTTGGTTGTACTGTTGATCACTAATCCAGGCTTGATTTTTTACAGAACGCTGGTTAGAAATGGTTAGATCTAGGCTAGAATTGGCCTTCATTAACCCATGCTTGTCGTAAGAGGTGACTAACAGAAACAGGTGGTCAGGCTAGCTGACTTGGTTGACACATGTCATCGTATCTCAGTTGCGTAGATCGATGCTGATGCTGCTGATCAGTGATCACTGGATTGTCTGGTCCTGACACGATTATTTACAAACCGCCACCATATAGCTGGAATATTGCTGAGTGCAGCGTTAAACAACAAACCAACCATCCAACTTACCCTGTCGATGTAGTACAGGCCTCCTATCAGGCTGTACAGTGGGTTGATAACTGTCATGACGTAATGGATTGCAGTGGCTGCATCTGGGTAGCCCAGCATGTCTACAAGTGACACAGCGATGTAGGGCAAAATTGTACTCTGAAACACAAGCAGGGTTCATACAGATCATCAGCCATGGAATATAGGGCTTTTTATGGTATTTTCAAAACCCAATCAACAATTTTAAGGAACTATAGAAACACACATAACACTAAATGTGGAGATTAATTAACACCCACTGTCATAACAAGATATTTTCATTCTGTATTAGCTGGCTGTACAATCTTAACTTGACAAGTCTTACTAAATACAGTGCCTTTTAGGGCAAATAACTGGCAATTTGGGCCTTTTCAAGGCTAAAATGAATGTAGGGCCTTTTTAGGGTAAAATGTCCAAATTCCAGGTATTTTCAAGCCCATACAGCCCTGACAAGGAACATATGCAAGTGCTTAGACAGCTGCTCTCTGCAGCCATGATTACTCATGCAATAATTGTGTAACAGCCTTGGACATAAGTCAAAGTCTACCTAAACAATATTTGCCACACCTGCATACCAACTTCAACTTTCTGTCAACTCTAGTGCGTGCATGATCTGATTGTTTTGTGTGTATCGAAATTCTTAGTTGCCAGGGTTCCAGTAAAACGTCTGCCAGTTGGACATTTTGTACCAACTCATCAGACCTATCAGGGAGAGGGTCGAGTACTAAGGATCAGTATTTTTGCAGTACATTTGGACCTTCCAAGCACTAGATGATGGGTCAGTTCAAGAGCAAAACAGGTCCTGGGCTTTAATACATGAACAGCCAATTTACATGTTTGACACAGAATTCTAAAATGTCCTGTAAATTCCACTCCCTGGCCCCATGTGTCCCCATAAATACATGTAAATATAAACTGATTCCTCATACTTTAAAAAAAAAAGAGTGCAAAAGTTTTTCTATGAAACCCTTCACTGACAAACACCTTCACAATGAAAATTATTTCTCACTTCCAACTAATGAATCATGTTACTTTTCAGTGTTGGGCGGTGCAGTAGCCTAATGGTCAATGCGTCCGATCGTGATGTTGCTGGAATATTGCTAAAAGCGGCGTATAACCATACTCACTCACTCACTTTTCAGTGTTGAAATAACCTACTCTTACTAATATATGTTTGTTCTGTATTGTACTCAAAGACTTGCAAGAAAGTATTTGCAAAAAGAAAAAATGCTTGTGTCCCCTGTGTTTGATGAATGTGCCCTGATGTTTAAACATTAGTGCCGAAATGTTATGGTAGGATTTACTTACAAATATCATGATGTTAGGCAGCACTGCCTGACACGTCTCGTATGCACTAAAGGCAAAGGAGAAGGTGTACACGACGAGGATGTTGGCAGGGATGTAGGTGATGAACAGAAGTACGAGTGACACCATAGCCCCAGCAGTATTCAGAGACGGTACCTGCAACAATAAACCTCACACACTGATACACACTTGAGTAAAATTGCTCTGAGAGTCTAAGATAAAACCAAGATTATTTCTTGTTAAAAACTAAACAGGATATTTATATTGTAACTGGCACAGCAAAAGAAATGTATCTGCCACAAGTAATTTAAAAAAGACCTGGCTATTTGTAGTTAATTGCCAAAAAGCGTTTTCATATTGTACAGCAAAAAAAACGTATTTGCCACAAGTAATTAAAAAAATGATTTTTTTTTTTTCTGCATTCATTCTCTGCATTTTGCTTACAAGACACACATTTGTGCATCATGTAAAACCATGGACGGAGTCATGCTGCGACCTTTTATTTTGCATTAGTTCAATAACAAATCTTTCGGCCTCTAAAATGTTCGTAAACAAAAATCAACTTCATGATGGGTTCTGGTAATAGAATGAAAAGCAAACAAGTTTTAACAAGGTAATATACCAAGAGAAAATTACATTTAGATATATTTTTCACCAGTTTTTATGCACACTGGTATTTGTCCGAAGTCAAGATTTTCATCTAATTCCCATTGTCCTGTCTTTGAGTCTTGTAAGACAACCATAAAACATATTATGCTCTAATTTTGTCATCAATACAATATGTAGAAAGTCAAATTACCGGCACTGCTCCAACAATGATGATGCAGATAATCACAGGAATGACAAACACACAACAATTTATCATAAACAAGGAACCCCAGTACATATTGAAGGTGATGCCAGCCACCCTTTGTTGTCCTCGGGTTTTGTTCTGAAACAAGAGAAAATAGTTTGTGCCTTTTTGGGTTTTTTTGTTGTTTAATGCCACACTCAACAACACTCCAGCCATATGATAATTGGCTTAAATTTTCTAGTCTGGAGCAGATAATAAAGACATTGACAACGTAAGCATAGATCTACAAAAGTGGGCTACAATGACATGCATCATCAACCCAGTCTGCCATATGCTGACTCTTATAACACTGTTCATAATTTATGGCTAGGGGGTGATGATGATTTTAAGGGGGTTTCACCCATTTTGTTTTGGGGAGGCAGGGTGGGTGGGGGTGGAGCCATTAATTTTTGTATGCATGTACTAGGGGGATCAGCAATTTTGTACATAGAAATATTAAATTTTATGCTTAAAAATTCTGGGAAGGGGGGGGGTCATTGATTTTGTACATGACATGCAAGGCGGGGTCACTTACTTTGTACATAAATTGTAGGGGGTGGGTATTCACATTATACATGCTTCTCCACGAAAATCATCATCACCCCCCTTAGCCATAAATTATGAACAGTCCCTTTGCTAGAGAAGCTGAAGATTTTTTTGTCTAAGTCTGCCCGGGTCACATAACAACAAAGCACTGAGTGTTAAACATAAGTAAATGGCTGTGGAAAGCAACTGCAGACATGGATGCAGATCCACATCAGTAAGTAAACAGGAAACATAATAAAAAAATAAGTTAAAATAGATAGATTGTAAATGGGGACTTGACCAATTTAGAAAGCACATACCTGTCTCTCTATCACTAGGAACACAGCAAACCCTGGAGAGAGAACAGCAAATGCAAGAGCCAGAACCATTGTTGCCGAAAACGCTGATCCATTGTATTTAAGCTTATTGGAGAGGGACGGCCACAGTAGACTGCTCCCCGAGATGTTGAAGCCCCCACTTATTAAACTGTACATGGTGTTGGACATGATGTTGATGATGGTGGGGAGTGAGTGGACTGCGGTGGTGTTGTACAATGCTGTGTAGTTGATGTCATTGCTCTGAAAGGGTGAGAGACAATATATGAACCCAGGTAATATGGGACCAGGTAATACTGTCATCCAGGGCCTGTCTGGCCAAGGTAATACTGTCATCCAGGGCCTGTCTGGCCCAGGTAATACTGTCATCCGAGGCCTGTCTGGCCCAGGTAATACTGTCATCCAGGTAACACTGTCATCCAGCTCCTGTCTGGCCAAGGTAATACTGTCATCCAGGGCCTCTCTGGCCAAGGTAATACTGTCATCCAGGTAATACTGTCATCCGAGCCCTGTCTGGCCCAGGTAATATGGTCACTTTGGGCTTGTCTGGCCCAGGTAATACTGTCATGCAGGTAATACTGTCATGCAGGTAATACTGTCATCCAGGGCCTGTCTTGCCCCGGTAATACTGTCATCCAGGGCCTGCCTGGCCCACGTAATACTGTCATCCAGGGCCTGTCTGGCCCAGGTAATACTGTCATCCAGGGCCTGTCAGGCCCAGGTAATACTGTCATCCGAGGCCTGTCTGGCCCAGGTAAAATACTGTCATCCAAGGCCTGTCTGGCCAAGGTAATACTGTTATCCAGGGCCTGTCTGGCCAAGGTAATACTGTCATCCAGGGCCTGTCTGGCCAAGGTAATACTGTCATCCAGGGCCTGTCTGGCCAAGGTAATACTGTCATCCGAGGCCTGTCTGGCCCAGGTAATACTGTCATCCAGGGCCTGTCTGGCCCAGGTAATACTGTCATCCGAGGTCTGTCTGGCCCAGGTAATAAAAGCAAACAGTGGCAAAAAAACACATAATGGTTCTGGAGTCCCTGCGATTAATAGCTAAATCATTTGAAAATTGATAGTAAGTTTTACCTGAAATTTTTTCACATTCCTAACCTGAAGATGCTATTAAGTTTTAATTAAATATAAAGGTATCAAATCCATGTTTCACATAACTGAAAACATTATAATTTTTTTTACTTCAAAGGCTGACATTTGATTTCAATTTACAAGTATCCAAATGAAGTTCGAAAACCTCAAACTTGAAAACACCTTCAAATTGAGAAAGTTTTATACAAATGTGAAAATTGTAGGTCAGGAAGAGGGAAGTCAAAGAGTTGAAGTTGGAATTGTGTGCATTGACTTACCGACTGCTGATATTGCTGGAGGTTGAAGCCAAGGACGTGGTTTGGGAATAACAACAGGCTCATGTTGAGATTTTCATCTACTCGCCAAGTCTCGTTTGTTTTGGAGATAAACACTGCAGAATCGGCATTACCTGTTCAGAAACACAGAAATATTTTATGACACCTTGTGCAGTGAAGACTTAGCATTACACTGTTTAAATAAGCTAATTCAAACATCAGATCAGACTGTTTGAAGTTATGAAGTAACATGCTAAAACAAACAGCTAACTATACAATACTCCTCTTTTAGCAATATTCCGGCAATATCACCACAGGTGACACCAGAAACGGGCTTCTCACATTGTGGGGAATCGAACGGACGCTTTAACCTCTAGACTACCCTCCTCCCATACGAACTGAAGGCTTTCAGTGTGATTTACAGATTGATCTGCACAAATATAACGGTGTTAGGATCTACATCGAAATGTCACATCCATTGCAATAAAGAAGCTGTCTATCCATACAAATTGTTCCCCTTCAAATATAAAGATATCCCACAACTGTGACAGTAATTGAGCTGGGTTGAAGTATGTCTGGAACAGTATACCAGCTATATCATGGCATTTCAAATCAATACGTCAGAGAATTATGAAGTGAAACAGATCCACAACATTTACAAGTTTGCTGAATCCTACGAGCATGGATATGGCGCAGACATACTTAAAAACATAAACAGGGTAAACTGGGATTTAAACTCATTGTAAACTAAAAGTCACTGTGTTCTTTAATCTGATTGGTTGAAAAACATGATCGAATGGTATTCGATTCCCGGAAATTGCAAGACCACTCGCAACAATATGTACAAACATCGCACACAACATTGTATTGTTGCATCGTCAGCAGTGGTGACGTCGTTCAAATCATATTGTGATGTAAAGATGGAATGACGTCACAAATGAGCAGTTCCAGATGCTACCATAGGAGACAGCTGAAACGGCCGGCTGATGACATTTCACTGCTGTACTCAATGTCAATGAGTGCAGACACAAAAAACGTGTGTGGACCTTTTGGTTTACTTTTGTGCTTACAATGTCGACAAACATCATGTGTTGGCCAATTTCCAGGTGTTATTGAGTATTTGAAGCACGGGAATATTTCATTTGAAACCTCTGGCTAATGCCGTCAGTTCCAAATGAATTCCCCTGCTTCAAATACTAAATAACACGCGGAAATTGGCCAACAGATGATGTTTATCTCCTTATGATAACATGTTTCTGCCATGTCCATGAGATGTAACTCTGTACTCAGTGGCCCTTATATGAGTGTAATGACTAAATGTTTTTACACATGACCCCTAGGGGTGACTATTGATGGGGAAACAACTATTGCGATAGTCTATTGCAACATGCTTTTGCGATAGTGATAGTCCATTGTGACCAACTATTGCAATACTATTGCAATAGTTGTTTTCTCCTTGGATTGTCCCATTTGAAGTCATTTCCCAAATGAATGTTTAGTTTATATGAAATAAAAACAAATTGAAGTAGTTTATGTCCCTCTTAATAACTGACAAGAAACTTGAAACCCAGAAACAGTTAAACCATAAACTTATTGTTATTCATACGTTTTTGCTGCCATGTTTGTTCAAGAGGTAACAGGGATGGATAACTCTAAATCAAAGTGAACAAATCAGGTATTTCCTGTATTTTGTGCTGAGATTTATCAACGAAAGTCAATTACTAAACTATCGATATCACACATACTATCAATGCATCGATAGTTTTTCGTTTCTACCGTCGATTAATTGCTATCGGAGACTCAACAACTGCAATCCATCGATAGTTAGATGCATCATTACAGCACTAATGATCATATCGTTAATGCTCATAATTTTGATCAGTCGACTGTCTGGTCCAAACTCAACCATTTACAGTCCTCTATCATATACCTGGAATACTGCTGAGTGCTGTTTTTAACGATACATTAAGAGCCATAAACAAGCAACATATATCCCGCATATATGAGTATTTGCATTAAAGTGAGTGAGTGAGTTTAGTTTTAAGCCACTTTTAGCAATATTCCAGCAATATCATGGCAGGGGACACCAGAGATGGGCTTCACACACTGTACCCATGTGGGGAATCGAACCCGGGTCTTCGGCATGATGAGCGAACGCCTTAACCACTAGGCTCCCCACCCCACCCCACCCCCCTTGTATTAGACTGTAAAATGGTTCGGCTACAGAGAACTTGCCTTGAGAGTCGATAACTGCCATAGGACCAGCAGCATACGTGGCTGATGTTGCGAACAAGGACACTGGCGTCGGATTGGAGCCATCTTCAGTAGTCTTGCCGAGGGTACTGAGGATACAGCCAACCACCACAAAGACAATCGGAAGAATGATTTGGAAGATAACAGACAAAGGATTCCGAATGATGATTAGGAAACGAAGCTTCATTAATGCCCAGAATCGCTGTGACGTCAGGTTTTCGACTGTGGGTGTATTGGCCGAACTGAGAGTTGGATTCACATGTTCTTTCATCTCTATGTTAACTTGACTTGGAGTGTCAGAAAGCACATGCTGAGTGGGTTCCTGGATGCAGCTATCATAGCTAGGTTTTTCAAATCCATGTACAGGATGATTATTTTCATCAGCGTCTTCACCTTGATAAGAAATATGAATAAATGTCATTGACCATACATCAATACCTGAGATACCACTCTTTTAATTTCCAAAAGGGGCAAGTGCAGCCTAAAGCTTCAAAGGGCCAAACTAGTTCCAAGAGCCTATTGGTATGTCATATGAAAGGATTCCTATCACAATGTCAGGTGCAGTGTCATTCTGGTGTGTGTGGGGTTTTGGGGGGTTTTTTGGTTTCAAAATATATATATATTTTCAAATTTCTGTGACGACAACTGTTATGTTTTATTGATCATTTGGCAATATCTCGGAAGTCAAACATCCTACACCTGTCACCAACTGTGCATCGAAAATCCACTTTATCATTAACAGCTACACCTCAGAAAGTTGGGGCAGCTAATCCATTTCCATGGTTACTGTTTTGGATAAATGCTGGAAATATGCAATATACATTTTATACTTCTTTGATGGGCAAATTATCATCATTCTTTATACATTTTATAATTTATACACAAATTTCTGTGGTGACTATTGTTATGAAGGAATGACTTGTGAGTGACATGTTTCTGTTCGTACCAATTTTGAGGAATACTTCTTCCAATGTTGTCATGGAAACACCATAGCTCTTGATACCAAGTTTTTCGGCCTGAGTTGTTCCATCAACTTTCTGCTCCAGTGATGCAAACATATCTGTCAACAGCAAAAACATCTGTAATTTAATGAATTTGTCAACAACATCAAAATCTTGAAAGGCATTTAGAAGTTGGACAAATATGAATACATGGCACATTTTTATGGCTTTCAACTTCTTTTTATTCTTTGCTACTTTGTCAACAAAAACAAAAGACATTTGTCAACATGACAGTGACATCTTTCAACAACAACAACGCCTGTCAGCATCATCAATGACATATGCCAATGAAAACTCAACACACAGAGAGCTGGTACTGATTGTAGTTTTGAATCCCAGATTCACATCCATGACATCATCCTCAGTCAGTCAGAATCACACTGTGGGTCACATTTAAATGGCTCCTGTCTGAGATCTTCACCATCATGGCCTTTCTCTCTCATTTAAAAGTGTAGTTTCTGTAAGGTTACTTACTTTAGCAGCTTTCTGATATTACACACTCGTAATAATGCATATTGACAGGTATACTGGTCCCCTCTGACATGTTTTTTAACAAACCCTATGATGACCTGTACCTCTGTTGACAAAAATGTGTACAAGAAAACCTTGTGGTGCACATGTGAGTGAGTGAGTGAGTATGGTTTTACGACGCTTTTAGCAATATTCCAGCAATATCACGGCGGGGGACACCAGAAATGGGCTTCACACAATGTGCCCATGAGGGGATTTGAACCCGGGTCTTCGGCGTGACGAGCCAACGCTTTAACCACTAGGCTACCCCACCGCCCCGGTGCACATGTGAAACAGGCAAGCATTTGTAAAGTCTACTTTTGCAAACGATGACAAACCAGTCAAGTATTCAAGTTTGGCTCAATATGTGACTAATTTTCTCAACTTACTCCAACACATCTGATTTTCTGATTTTCTTGATATCCCAGCAAGAACATTTTGAATTTCTTTCCTCAGTAAAAGATCCCATTAATAAGAATAGTCTGCTGTCTACAAACCAGCATCAAACCCAACTCCCTCCTTTTTTTTAATTGTAGGACTCACTGGAAAAGGTGGAAACTTCGGGGAGGGGCAAGGTGAAGGCCAACTCCTTAGCATGGGACCGTTTGACCTGGACGCCTTTGACCTGCTCACTGAGCACAGAGGTCACCCTTTCCGCATCACAGTCAGGCTCAACCACCATGCTGAAAAACAGGATATATCACCAATACACACAACATTTCCAAGGCTAATATTACTTGCATTGTCATGCCAATATGTTGCTTGTGCCGGCTCACTAACAAATGATATATCGATAATTTCCTGTGTTGATGCATTTATGTCATAGTTACAGCATGATAATATATTGTAGCATTATACAGACAAACATGGCTGCGTCGAATGCTGATTTGTCAAACATTGATGTATCAAACTTTAATGTGTCAAGATATAAGCTTGGTACCTAATACATGTATTTAGGACTGTGAACTGTATTTATTGGCAGATGAACTGTATTGCAACATATTGTGATTCAGGTTGGTTGGTTGGTTTGTTGTTTAATGCCGCACTCAGCAATATACCAGCCATATGGCAGCAGTCTGTAAATAATCAAGTCTGGACCAGACAATCCAGTGATCAACATCATGAGCTCTGATCTACGCAATTTTGATACGATGACATGTGTCAACCAAGTCAGCAAGCCTGCCCCCCGATCCTGTTAGTCACCTCTAATGACAAGCATCGGTTACTGAAGGCCAAGTCTAATCTGGATCCTCACAGTTCTTGTGATTCAGGTACCCATACAGTGATACATATTGTGATATATTTGGAGCTAAAGTGTTTGACAGCAAGTGACGCTGATTGTACAAGCATATTCTACATACCAAAGCCATAAAAATTCATGTTATGATTCTGGTAACGACAACCTCAAAATTAGGGTGGATCGTTCGGGATTCTACTTTCTGTTTTATACAATAGGGAAGAATCTGTGGTGAATGAAACTCTGTTTAATGCAAACCATAGAAATTATCACCGAATTACATATATTTTTTGCCCCAAATGCCGGTTCTCATAAAAAACATTGTTGTATAATTGTAATACCTCACGGTCCTTCTTAACATTCATTATCAATTCATCGTAGTTTTCCTGCTTTTTTTGTTGTGCTGAACCACTGATACTCAAAACATTTACCTACATCCCTTGAATTTTGTCACAACATGACTGTAAATGTTCTTTTGCAAAATTAATCAGGACAAAACTGTAAGATGATCATGTGAACTCATTTAATTCTAATAATGAATATCAAAACAAACCCCAGGATTCAATAACTTACCAAATAAATGCTTTAGACATAAAAATATTTAGGCTACAGAGTCAATTTGCATCCCTAAATGCTCACTTCAGATGGTATCCAATTCCAAATCTGTTCTTGAGAAACAACGACGACCCTAGGCATCTGAGACTGCCATGGTTAACGATGGCCTTGCGATCTGTAACAGGAGAATATTTTTCACAGCAATTGTAGGAACAAAGAGTGTCACTATCATTATTTATATCATTGTGGCATTAAATCTTAGTTTGCAAAAAATCACTCTGGCTTTTGAGTGAGTGTGTGCATGATCTAGCAAACCCATGATTTGTTTACCTGCTAATATGTCTGCTTCATCCATGAAATGGGTTGTCAACAAGATGATGCGGCCCTTTTTGTTGTTTTGCAGGAGTGACCACAGATGACGTCGTGAAAAAGGGTCCATCCCAGCAGTTGGTTCATCCAGGAAGATTATCTGTAAGAGTCACATAATTCAATGACTGCTTTTTTCTTCAGAGGTAATTTGGTAGACATAATACTGAATTCATACACATGTATGTGAATGACTAAGTGTAACGTCATAAAGCTGTATATGAATTACATCACTGTGATGTCAAACATCTCTGTATGTGTATGCAACCACTGTGATGTCATACATCTGTATGTATATGCAACCACTGTGATGTCATACATCTGTATGTATATGCAACCACTGTGATGCCATACATCTGTATGTATATGCAACCACTGTGATGTCATACACCTGTATGTGTATGCAACCACTGTGATGTCATACATTTGTATGTATATGCAACCACTGTGATGTCAAACATCTGTATGTATATGCAACCACTGTGATGTCATACATCTGTATGTATATGCAACCACTGTGATGTCATACACCTGTATGTGTATGCAACCACTGTGATGTCATACATCTGTATGTGTATGCAACACATACATCTGTATGTACATGCAACCACTGTGATGTCATACATCTGTATGTATATGCAACCACTGTGATGTCATACATCTGTATGTGTATGCAACACATACATCTGTATGTATATGCAACCACTGTGATGTCATACATCTGTATGTATATGCAACCACTGTGATGCCATACATCTGTATGTATATGCAACCACTGTGATGTCATACACCTGTATGTGTATGCAACCACTGTGATGTCATACATCTGTATGTGTATGCAACACATACATCTGTATGTACATGCAACCACTGTGATGTCATACATCTGTATGTATATGCAACCACTGTGATGTCATACATCTGTATGTGTATGCAACCACTGTGATGTCCTAAGGCTGTAAGTGTCAGTTATGAAGCTGCATGTGACAAACATGTGATGTCAATAAGCTGTATGCTAATGACACCAGTATGCTATATATCTATGTGTATATTACCATCTATAAGCTGACCCCATAGATAAGCCGACCCCCAAACTTGACCCTTAAAATCAGTGTCAAAATGGTATGTTTCATACATAAGCCGATCCCCCGCGATGGGGTCCTAATCCTGGCAAACACAGACAACTGGCAGTTACCAATAATTATAACTTTGGTCCACATTATTCAAAGAATTCACAATCATATTGCATCTACTCATGCATCGAAATGAAGTGTAGTTGACAGCAAATGGATAATATTTTTTGTTTTGCTAAATATCATACTTATTGTAGCTAGACGATCACATGTCAACAAACTGGATTGCTTATTTTACCCCATTCAACAATCACGGACTGATTACCGCTTCATTTTCCATGGACTGCTAGTTTACAGTAACATCAGTTAAAATGTGTGAATTTAAATGGCTTGCTTATTTTACCTCATCCCATGTGTGTAAAACTTCCGCTTACCCCGTTCCTGAGGGTCCGTATAACCTTAGTGTTGATTATGTATATTTTACATTTATAGAGCAAAAACTGTAATTGAAATTACACAATGCTAGGATATATTTCTTTGGATTAAATAATAGTATTCCGAATTTTATTTTACTGATGACTGCGCCAGAATTCATCCCGTTATATTATTGTGCATGTTTGAACTTGATCGCCGGGAAACGTGTGCACAGCTGATTGCAATTTCCGGATCAAATACACGCAGTAATCTTAATCTTAATTAATCTATAGAGCAAAAACTGTAATTGAAATTACACAATGCTAGGATATATTTCTTTGGATTAAATAATAGTATTCTGTATTATATTTTATTGATGACTGCGCCGGAATTCATCCAGTTATATTATTGTGCATGTTTGAACTTGTTCGCCGGGATACGTGTGCACAGCTGATTGCTATTTCCAGCTCAAATACACACGGTAATCTTAATCCCTGCAAATAATACAATGCCAAGAAAAAACAACTTAGGACTTAAAAGGTAAATAATCTTGTCTAGTGATGTAAAATTGCAAATTTGACGTCGTCTTCTGTTATTTGTTCACGCAAAGTGATACGATGTTGTTTTCTTACCCCTGGAAAAAAGTTTTACGAAAGCGTAGCTCATAGATAGGCAGACCCCCTTTTACAGACTGCTTTTTTTCATCCTCAAAATTCAGCTTATAGACGGTAATATACAGTAATTGGTGTCATGTATCTGTATGTAAATGTCATCAGGAAGTCACACAGATGTGCCCTTTTCCCACCCTACCTTCGGGTCTCCAATGAGTGCCATAGCAACAGACAGTTTTCTTTTCTGTCCTCCACTGAGGTTCTTGGCGAAAGTATCAGCCTTATCATATATGTCAGCATCCTTCATAGCCCTGGTCACCTGCAACACGAAAACAGACCACTGGTTAATTGATGAGCATTTCATCAACACAAGTATTTTCCACTAAACTTAAAACAATCTTAGTCTCATATTGATATTATGCCTTGATACACAATGAGGAGTTCTACATAATGAGGGACTACTCAGTCCAGGGGGCCATCCAGTCTTGGTCATAATCTTGTCAGATTTGTTGTGATTGTCGAATCGACCAACCAGCCTGACCATCTGATTCATTTGGTTGCACTGACCAGCATCAATTGATGGGGATAATTACTCATCCAAAATATTGTAGTGATGTTGCAGGTAAAACAGTATCCCATTTCACACCATTGCAGGATCAGGGGTGCAAATAACTTTAAAATTGCTAGTGTACTCCAGAACAGTGGCACATGTAAAATCACTTCCCCTGATAATTTTTCCACTATACCGGCCGTTTTCTTGTTGATTTTTTAAAATAAACAATATAAATAACATTGGAAAGTCAACTGGACAACAGTACAGTGTGATATGCAAATTTGCTTGCCCGACAGAAAAAAACACTGGACTCGGACGTTGGGCAATGGGTTATTTCCACCCCTGAGGATAAAAAATATATGCAAGGCAGGAGAGTGTGTGAATCTTGTACCATGTCACTCATTGTCAACAAAATTCTGTCACATCAGAGATATCATAAATATATAAATCATGTTAATGGTATAAATTCATGCCAGCAATATCATGGACATAACATCATGTGAGCAATATTATGTTACCTCAATAATAAAATGAACACAACAAATCAACAATATTATGTCATGACAGTTATAAATGTGAATATGACATGTTAGCAATATAATGTCACATCAGTTATTCCATGAATATGACATGTCAGCAATATTATGTCACGTCAGTTATAAAATGAATTCGACATGTCAGCAATACTATGTCATGTCATTTATACAGGAATATGACATGTCAGCAATATTACGTCACATCATTTATACAGGAATATGACATGTCAGCAATACTATGTCATGTCATTTATACAGGAATATGACATGTCAGCAATATTATGTCACGTCAGTTATAAAAAGAATTCGATGTGTCAGCAATACTATGTCATGTCATTTATACATGAATATGACATGTCAGTAATACTATGTCATGTCATTTATACAGGAATATGACATGTCAGCAATACTATGTCATGTCATTTATACAGGAATATGACATGTCAGCAATACTATGTCATGTCATTTATACAGGAATATGACATGTCAGCAATATTATGTCACGTCAGTTATAAAATGAATTCGATGTGTCAGCAATACTATGTCATGTCATTTATACAGGAATATGACATGTCAGTAATACTATGTCATGTCATTTATACAGGAATATGACATGTCAGCAATATTATGCCACGTCAGTTATAAAATGAATTCGACATGTCAGCAATACTATGTCATGTCATTTATACAGGAATATGACATGTCAGTAATATATGTCAGGTCATCATTTATACAGGAATATGACATGTCAGCAATACTATGTCATGTCATTTATACAGGAATATGACATGTCAGCAATATTATGTCACGTCAGTTATAAAATGAATTCGACATGTCAGCAATACTATGTCATGTCATTTATACAGGAATATGACATGTCAGTAATACTATGTCATGTCATTTATACAGGAATATGACATGTCAGCAATACTATGTCATGTCATTTATACAGGAATATGACATGTCAGCAATACTATGTCATGTCATTTATACAGGAATATGACATGTCAGCAATATTATGTCACGTCAGTTATAAAATGAATTCGATGTGTCAGCAATACTATGTCATGTCATTTATATATGAATATGACTATGTCATGTCATTTAACAGGAATTATGTCAATATTACGCCAGTTATAAAATGAATTCGACATGTCAGCAATACTATGTCATGTCATTTATACAGGAATATGACATGTCAGTAATACTATGTCATGTCATTTATACAGGAATATGACATGTCAGCAATACTATGTCATGTCATTTATACAGGAATATGACATGTCAGCAATATTATGTCACGTCAGTTATAAAATGAAATCATGTTATACTATGTCATGTCATTTATACAGGAATATGATCAGCAATATTATGTCAGCAATATTATGTGTCAGTCATATCATTTATACAGGAATATGACATGTCAGCAATACTATGTCATGTCATTTATACAGGAATATGACATGTCAGCAATACTATGTCATGTCATTTATACAGGAATATGACATGTCAGCAATATTATGTCATGTCATTTATAAAGGAATATGACATGTCAGCAATACTATGTCATGTCATTTATACAGGAATATGACATGTCAGCAATATTACGTCATGTCATTTATAAATGAATATGACATGTCAGCAATACTATGTCATGTCATTTATACAGGAATATGACATGTCAGCAATATTATGACATGTCAGTTATAAAATGAATTCGACATGTCAGCAATACTATGTAATATCATTTATACAGGAATATGACATGTCAGCAATATTATGTCCCAGCAATATCCACAGTGTTATTTAGCAGAACTTACTGCTTCCTCCCTGATATTTTCTGCAACACCCTTGATTCCAGCAAACACCATGAGATGCTCCTTGGTGGTAAGTGTATCGTACAGGATGTTGTGTTGTGGACACACCCCACACATGGACCGGAGACGCTCCATGTCGCTGCTGTCGGAAACATCCTGGACAAAAAATGAACACAATTTCATAGATATCCCCAAGAGATGCAATCACAGCCTGACATACAATTGTCCTTTCCAAAAGTGTACACCATGAACACAAGGAATGGTTTACTGTGAGCAAACGCTATACAGTTATGAAATAAATTGTAAGGACCAATGAAAAATTAGATATGCTGTATTTAGGAGATAAACCTAGTGTGTTTGAAAATCAGAGACATGCTTTACTGAATTGATAGCGAATAAACTACGTTTCAATTGAAATATTTAGTCGCCATCAATTCAGTAAAGCATGTCTCTGATTTTCAAACACACAAGGGTTATCTCCATTCTACCATGAACCATTTAAAATCGAACTTCCTCGCTCTGCGGAAGACACGCGTAATCCGCATGGGACGAGAGGCGAATTGAACTCGTCTGTGAAGGGAGCGGTAGGTGCCGTTCGTATTTTTTTAACATTACAACATAACAATATTCTGTCCAAAGAAATCAAACTACTGTTTATTCAATGCAATTATGTAATACCCGAGATCTTGGGGTTTTTTCATCCCAACTCCACACCCACTAAAACCAGCCTATTGTTTTGTGTGCCGTGAAACTGTACCCCCTGGCCACACTATAATGGAATCGCCTGACCTACTTATTTTCTTCGAAGTAAACAGTTACATAACAGTTTGAAATGGCGGACGAGCCAGTGTTTACATTTTGCTTAAAGGTTGAAATTTGAAGTGTCAGTGGGCAATACTTGACTGACTGTCGAATCTGAACCCTGCAGAATCGAAGGATAGATACTTTCCTGATCAACCTAACGACCTGTAACTCATCAAAAACTGTTGATTTTATGACCGGCCGATCATGATTTCACGCACTGCCTCCACCCCGCATGCACAAAAGGGTGACAGTGCTGCTGCTTAGTGTACATGCGACTAACTTGTGATTCCTTGGAACTTTGTTTTCATCGCTTGGGACTGGACTGTGTCCAAGCCGCTTTTCAAAGTAGATGAACATAACAGTGACAACCTTCGCGGGAAGCTGGCAGAGAGCAGAATTATTTTGTGAACGATGCAACGGATATGATGGAGTATGACTATGAGTGGCATAAATGTGGTGTTTCGCCAGACCGTTAAATCTATCTTGCAAATTTCCCATTCTAAACGGAATTAAATATACCATTTACCAGGTAGGTAAATGTTTACTAATGTTTTGCTGCATATTTTGTATAGATAGGGATGTATTTTTTACAAGGCTTTCTGATTTATATGTTAGATATTGTTTTGTTTATGTTTGGGGTTGTGTATTGTAATTGAGTTTGAATATTTTTATAATAGAAGGTAATATGATAGTGAGGTTCCCTCATAATTGTGGGGGTGGGGGTTGGGGGGATCATATAATTGTATATTTCGAGTTTAAATAAAGGTTTTATCAGCATTTCCATCACGTCTGTTGTGTTGATATTAGTCATGTTGGTGGTCAAGCTGAAGTAGTGCGGCAGTGTCCTATACGTGCGCAGTGAAGCGCAATGAAATCAAAAGCATTTTTAATCCAAAAATTTCCAATTGCCTATGTGGAATATTCGAAAGTCAGCGTCAAAATCCATGGAGTTGTTGTTATGATCCGCCATCATTGTGGTCAAACGGAAGTAGTTCTCACAATAAGATTTGTCAATGTGCGGTGAAGCGGCCTTACAATCAGATGAGCGTCAATCCACAATTGATGCCGTCTGATTTTTCTGAACAACCAATCAGAATCTAGTATTTTCTTGATTCATGGTAGAATTCACAATAGTATGTCATTAAGGGTGTCAGTGGCTGTTTTATTCAGTCTAACATGGAAATCAGTATTTGTAACAGGTCTAAGGCTTCTGAGAAATTTGAATGGAATAGCATTAATAGGTCTTCTTCAGTTCTTCAAAATCTAGTTTGCCATCCTGATTCTTTGTAGGTCCAGATTTCAAGATACATTATTCATTTGTAGTAAAGGCCACATGAACCACCCTACAAATGATAATTACACTTTATGTTACAGAGATACCTGTTTGGTTTGTTTTCACACACATAAACATTAAGAAATTTGGGAACATATAACACTAAATTAAAGTTGATTGATTGACTGCTGAGAGCTTTTTACTATGAGTATGAGAAACAAATCTGCATATATATGCAGATGTACTCAGGACATGACTGGGATACTGACTCAAACGGTCTGACGGTGAGCCAGAGTCAGTGTGCTGGAGGAACCCACAAGCATGGGTATGGTGTTGACAAACCTACGAACATTGTCAGTCTTAACTGAGATTCAAACCCAGAATCATAGTTTTCAATGAGGTCCAAGGGAAGTAACTCTGCACAGCAAATTGCAGCTTCAGAGATCACTGGGTCATCTGTGCCCATGTATAATGCGAGAATATCATCCATTGCTAGTTTATGTATTCAAGTCACGTAGTTGCTTACACATGAAGATTACGTTATTTTCATCGGTCGTGGAATATGCCTTAATAAAGTGTGGTGAGGTGAGGTGAAATTGGGTTTAACGTCGTACTTGAGAATATTTCGCTCATATGACGACTTGCATGCGTGTGTATGTGTATGTGCGGCTGCTTGTACTAGCCCAGACTGAAGCTGGTTTTATAGTGCTAGCCCACTGAGATACCATGCCGCAGTGAAGCATGAATACCCCACTCAGACACATTATACTGACTCCGAGCCGACCAGTCCTTGTTGTACCCATTAATGCCGAGAGCCAGGCAGGGACCAACAAGTACCATATTTTAATGTCTTTTGGTATGATGCGGTCGAGGATCGAACCCGCGACCTTCCACTCTCCGGGCGGACATTCTAACCACTACACCACGGAGGCGGTCCCTTAATAAAGTTATCATATATTATCAAAAATTTCACCAGCATCAAAAGGCAGCTTTTAATGGGATATTCTTTTATGCCATTACTAATGGATGGTAATTAGTCATCAGTCATCAGATTATGGACAGATCTGATAACCGCTATCATATTTGTTTATTGTTTGACGTCATGAATGTTCCAGCAGTACTTTATGAAAACAGTGGCTGTAAGTAGACTAACCAGGCCGTAGATAGTAGCGGTACCACTAGTAGGGGGAGTTAATCCACACAGCATGTTGATGAGAGTTGTCTTCCCTGCACCATTGTGGCCCAGCAAGGCTGTGATGTGCCCTTCATACATGTCAAGGGAGAGTCCTGAAGAAGATGAATATCTTGCAGCAGCTGTTTATACATCACATCTGCTTGTTTATTTTTGTTGTTTAATGCCCCACTCAGTAATCTTCCAGCATTTTGATGCTGTTCTATAAGTAATCATGTCTGGACTAGACAATCCAGTGACTGACACCATGACCTTTGATCTATGTCATTGGGAAACAATAACATGTACTAACCATGCACAAACTGACAATCCAGTGACTGACACCATGACCTTTGATCTATGTCATTGGGAAACAATGACATGTACTAACCATGTCACAAACTGACCATCCAGTGCTGTTGGTCACTTCTTACCACAACCAAAGGTTGCTGAAGACAAAACCTAACCTCTGTCTTTACAGTCTTAGTGTACTAACATTTATCTTGTGAAATGAACACATGCTGCAAAACAAACAAACAGTAAATAATCTTAACATATGTAATATTTGGGATTACACTTTCTCAGAAAAGTACAGATTCTAGTACTTTTGTCGGGTTGAGTCCCATGCAGGATTCGAATCCACACCCTCAGAGTCAGGTACCTAATCGCCATCGCACAAAGTCGCGGTGGCTGAACGGGTTAGGCAGCTGACTTTGTGTGCTGGCGATTAGGTGCCTGACTCTGAGGGTGTGGGTTCGAATCCCGCATGGGACTCAAACAAACAAAGTCTATACTTTACTGAGAAAGTGTAATCCCAAATATAACATATGCTATATTTCACCCCTTTCTAAATGATATTGTGTATTCATAGCAAATTATCTTGATAAATTATAATAAAAAGAAATTTAAAAATAGAGACTTTTCTGAACTAGATTTCCTGAAACTGCAGTAAAGTAGACTTGCCAAACAGTACAGACTTACACAGGCTGTATTGGACACTATTATCTTTGTTTCAAGATTTGTATCACTAGGGCAACAACAGATATTATATTGATTGGCTTTCAATGACATCATTTCATCATATCATTCAAGGTACGAATACCATCTGGCTGACTGGTACACCATCAAAGGTCAGACACGTTAATTTTAACCCAAATGGCTGCTGAAAGAACATCATCACAATCTCCATTCGACACAAGATGTAAACCCTGAGCAAAATTACAAGAAAGATGTCATTCACAGCATCATTCATTCATGGTTTACTTTAAAAATGCCTGCACATGAGATCATGATAACCTTGGTGTAAACATGGCCTACCTCGGACAGCATGGACTGTTTCATCCTTTGATGGAAAATCTTTACAAATGTTGAAGATCCTGAAATATGAACAATAATGAACTGAGCAAAGGTAACTAACACAAGCCAGCCATCCATGGTACCGGTATCTTCAACATCAATATGTGAGTGAGTGTGTTGAGTTCTACGCCGCACTCAGCAATATTCCAGCTATATGGCGGCGGTCTGTAAATAATCGAGTCCGGACCAAACAATCCAGTGATCAACAGCATGAGCATCGATCTGCGCAATTGGGAACTGATCACATGTGTCAACCAAGCCAGCGAGTCTGACAACCCAATCACGTTAGTCGCCTCTTACGACAAGCATGGGTTACTGAAGATCAATATTCTAACCCGGACCTTCACGGGTACATCAATATGTAGTGAAATGGGGTTTATGTGTGTGTGTGTCTGTCTGTCAGTCTGTGTGTTTGTCTGTCTCTATGTGTACCTGTCCGTGTGTCTGTGAACAGTTGTCCTTGCCGCCGTGTGTGCCACAGTAACAAATAGGACCAACTGCGCCTGGCTTTCGGTTCGATGTGGCTCGAGATCGATACAGATCAAAAACATTATTCAACAGACCAGTCAGTCACATCAGTCAATAGGACATCTACACGTGGCCTAAACCCGCTGCGCAATATATCTGAAATAACATCAACTCAACATTACATTTTTACTACACTTTAATACTCTATCATCAGGTGTGTTTACCTGACCCCTGCCTTGTCCTTGAGATCTTGGTGCACAGGTTCGATATCAGGACTGACGGATGTGTTGACGCCATTGACACTATGATGATCATTACTTGTAAGGGCAGATAACTCTGGGTTCTTATTTGTCTTCTTTTTACAGTAGTAGGATGGCATGAGGAAATACCAGGGGGGATATCGAGGGCCATATTCACCTGGAATACACAAATGATACATAGAGAATATTTTGATAAGCATAAGTTGATTAAGTAAGTAAGTTTGGTGAGCTTTCATCAGTAAGTGTTGACATATTTGACATCAAAAGAGATATGCATTAGGTTTAACATCAGTAGTAGTTGTAATATGAGTGGTAGGTGTAGGTGTAACACGAGTGGTAGATGTAGATGTTGCATGAGTAGTAGGTGTAGGTGTAACACAAGTGGTAGATGTAGATGCTGCATGAGTGGAAGGTGTAGGTGTAACACGAGTGGTAGATGTAGATGTTGCATGAGTAGTAGGTGTAGGTGTAACACGAGTGGTAGATGTAGATGTTGCATGAGTAGTAGGTGTAGGTGTAACACGCAAGTGCGGATGTAGATGTTGCATGAGGTAGATGTAGATGTTGCATGAGTAGTGTGTAGGTGTAACACGATAGGTAGGTGCGAGTGGTAGATGTAGGTGTTGCATGAGTGGTAGGTGTAACACGAGTGGTTGATGTAGATATTGCATGAGTAGTAGGTGTAGGTGTAACACAAGTGGTAGATGTAGATGTTGCATGAGTAGTAGGTGTAGGTGTAACACGAGTGGTAGATGTAGATGTTGCATGAGTGGTAGGTGTAACACGAGTGGTTGATGTAGATGTTGCATGAGTGTTAGGTGTAGGTGTAACACGAGTGGTAGATGTAGATGTTGCATGAGTGGTAGGTGTAGGTGTAACACGAGTGGTAGATGTAGATGTTGCATGAGTGGTAGATGTAGGTGTAACACGAGTGGTAGATGTAGATGTTGCATGAGTGGTAGGTGTAGGTGTAACACGAGTGGTAGATGTAGATGTTGCATGAGTAGTAGATGTAGGTGTAACACGAGTGGTAGATGTAGATGTTGCATGAGTAGTAGGTGTAGGTGTAACACGAGTGGTAGATGTAGATGTTGCATGAGTGGTAGATGTAGGTGTAACACGAGTGGTAGATGTAGATGTTGCATGAGTAGTAGATGTAGGTGTAACACGAGTGGTAGATGTAGATGTTGCATGAGTAGTAGGTGTAGGTGTAACACGAGTGGTAGATGTAGATGTTGCAAGAGTAGTAGGTGTAGGTGTAACACGAGTGGTAGATGTAGATGTTGCATGAGTAGTAGCTGTACGTTGAAGCTGTATGAGGAACAACCTACCGGGGATCACATGGTCAAGGTAGACAGCTATCACCGCATACAAAACGATGTCTACGACAAGCATGATGAAGGGTCCAGACAGTGGAAACTCCCCCACAGACATGTTGGCAAATGTCATTCCTCCCTTCGCAGTGTCCAGGTAAATCCCCTGAAAGGTAAAGGTACATGCAGGTAAATGCCCTGAAAGGTATATGCAGGTAAGTACCCTTAGGGGCAAAGGCATATGCAGGTAAATCCCCTGAACGGTAAAGACATATGCAGGTAAATCCCCTCAAAGGTGAAAACATATGCAGGTATCTTAGACCATAATCATATAGAGTGTACTAAAATGGGTATATTTCGGGAATACACCAGTTGTGTAATTCCATTCCTGAGCGCAAACCGAAACGGCTTGTCCCTTGAGACAGGTACTAATTAGAGATTGTATTCCACTACTACAAAGTCCTGACAGTTCAGAACAGTTTGAAAAGAGTTTTCAGAGTAGTCCAACAAACATTTTAGGAATTAGGTGGGATGTGGTGTTATTTGTTCAGTAATTACCTAATGCTCTATGTAACCCGGACACAAACAAAGGTGACCCAAGACTGGATAGATGGTTACCTGGTCTATGCCCAAGGCTAAAGCAACTGGAGACAGCAGGCAAATGGCCCAGATTCCTCCTGGAGCAAAATTGTAGTGATAGCCATCACGAGTTATGTCCCTTGTCATGCTGACAGCGAAGTACAGACAACTGATTGCTATGGTGGCGAAGCTTGTAACCATGCCTGCTACCTGTGCCTTTCGGAAGAACGGCGTGACTGCAAACGCCAGGTTGATTATGGAGATCCCATACAGCAGCATCAACAGGAAAAAGATAAACAGATTACTGCTTCTGCCGAAGAACTGGAACCCGTAAGCAATGACAGTGATGATAGCTGTTACCACGGCGATGAGTAGAGTGTAAGTCAAACCCCACGATAGCCTGAAAAAAAGTGAGTGAGTAAGTGAGTGCTTCTTTGTATAAAGTACATCTTTTATCTTATGTCCATACCATTTGACTTAAACAGTAGGAGAGTATCATCCCTAATTCTACTGTTTTTAATATGTCAAACATTAAAACTATCACTCTTTCATTCTACATTCATGAACCGACTAAATAAACCAAAGAGAATTATCCCCCTTGCACTCTCTTTGCTATTACTGACAAAATGTTTTGCTGATCTCTAAATTAATATGACAATGATAATGACAATCATGAAAAGAAATTATCCTATGATATTAAGATTAATATGTGCTTTCCTGACAGACCAAAAACAGATAAACGATTATACAAAATGAAATTGTGATTCATTCACCAGAATACAGAGTCCTTCAGACCCATCATTTTCATTCCTTCTCGTATCTTCTTCTCCTTCTCCGCTACTATGTTGACAGTGAGGAAGTTCACGAAGAACGAATACGCCATAACAAAGTAGACAGACGACAGGGTCTGGATGTACGAAATATCACTCGTAAACTCATCCTTGGGCATCATCTGGACATACACTTCAGGCAGAGGGAAAGAAGCATTTTTTCTCTGTCAAACATAAAAGTGAAAACAAGTAATGAAATTATGTTAGCATCAGTCATTCGTGGACATTCTACTAAAATTGAGTGCATTTAATGACATTTTGAGAGTGAGGGAGTGAGTATGGCTTTACAGTGTTTTTACTGGACATTCTACTAAAATTGAGTGCATTTAATGACATTTTGAGAGTGAGGAAGTGAGTATGGCTTTCAGTGTTTTTACTGGACATTCTACTAAAATTGAGTGCATTTAATGACATTTTGAGAGTGAGGGAGTGAGTATGGCTTTTCAGTGTTTTTACTGGACATTCTACTAAAACTGAGTGCATTTAATGACATTTTGAGAATGAGGGAGTGAGTATGGCTTTTCAGTGTTTTTACTGGACATTCTACTAAAAGTGAGTGCATTTAATGACATTTTGAGAGTGAGGGAGTGAGTATGGCTTTTCAGTGTTTTCACTGGACATTCAACTAAAATTGAGTTCATTTAATGACATTTTGAGAATGAGGGAGTGAGTATGGCTGTGCAGTGCTTGTACTAAACTTGTAGCAATATTCCACCAATATTGTAGAGAGTAAAAACCGAAATGAGCATCAAGCATGGTATACCTTTGGGGAATCAAATCCAGGTAATCGGTGGCACAAGCAACTGCTTTAACCACAACTTGCTGCTTCCCCATCACCCCTTATCTTGTAACCTTGCTTAATTAGCAATAAACAATTTTTTTTCTGGAAACCACTACACTAAATTGAAAAGTTGAGAGCTAGATATGACCAATGATGTCTATCCTTGACAAAATTGTAGATTCATTAAATGATATTCTTTAAGTGGACACTAACTGCTATTGTGATTATCTGTGGTACAAGGGTAATTAGCCACCCTGTCTTACCTTGATAAACGCAGCTTCAATGGCATGCTGAAGCCAAGCAAATCCACTTGTGAGATATTTGTTGGCCTTGCAGTTCGAATCTGTTGCAGACTGATCAGCCTTGAGGCATTCCCCTGAGTGAGATATGTTCAGATATTAGCAATAACAATAATAAAGCTGCTATGAGGCTTGGATACTTTGAAAATCACATGAAATTGATGATACTTGTTGTTACATGATGAATTAACAACAATATTTACTGTTAAATCTAAAAAAATACATTAAATGGCTGCAATGCAATGGAATTATGTTTGAGAATTATTCTCAGTAACACTAAACAAAACAATATATAGATTATATATATGTATGCTCAAGTTACCCGTCACAGCCTCCTTGCTGGGAGACACTATAGGTGTAGTTACTCAGTGGTGAGCATGGGTTTCAGCCCATATACGGTAAGCAAAATAGGGTTCAAAATTAAGCTTAACCCCTGGATGCCACAGGGACATATATGTCCTTCCCCTTCAACCATCAATTTCAAGTCCAATAAAATCAAAATATCCCACGCACACAAATACACTTCACAGTTTCTGAATTCTACAGGAAATTTCCTGTTTCTTGATACCATCCACTATTATTTTAGACAAAGCTCAAGTGCTGAAAATGACCTTTCAAAATTGGCTTCATCGAAAAATGTCGCCATTTTTGACACAGTACTGAAATCGCGATTCACAGCGCTATTTGCTGTATGTTTTGAAATGTGAAAATCGGATAATTACTGGGAGTATTGAATTTCAAAATAACATATTCATGATCACTGATATCAGTTTTACATGTAATCGCTTTATTATAATTCTGAAACGCTTGTCGATGAATCTAGAATCGGTTGGGATGTTTTCGAAAATGCACTTACACGAGAACACCGTGAGAGCTTTCCGCCATATTGATAGTGTTTACAAAATCACGCTTTGCTAAAGCCGGTATTGAGACGCCTATTACATCAATGATATTTCATATTCAGCTTCAAAAATGCATCACTGAATTCCCATACATTTTAGAATCAAATTGCAACTGGTCTGTGTCACCAATAACAACTGTCTAGATAAAAGGAGACGAAAAACATATTGGGTGTGAAACGAACGCTGTGCTTGAAAGACTGCGTTTGTCTGAGATGTAAACAAAGACAAATTCGATTTTACACTCGCGTAGCATTTTCTGAAATTTTTCAACATTCATCCGTCTATTCATTGCTTGCAATGGCTCAATACCTTTGGAATATGCATGAAAAGAGTATCGTGAGTAAGAAATAGGAAATTATAAATAGATACAATGCAATGATTTGATAATTCATAAGAAATTGTCAAAGTTTCGCGGCAGCGTGACGCCATGACTGGACCTTAAAATCACGCAGAACGACAACGGTAATTATCAGCATTTCTAGCCTTTTCTCTTACTTATAGTGAAAAAACGATAAAACATATAACAATACACAGATAGTCAGAATCATTCTGATTACTTACATCTCATATTTATGTACAAACGATCCCTGAATAAATTGGAAGCGCCCTCGCGAAAATCCTGTGTACCCTTTGTCAGCAAAGCCGCCATTTTGTAAGAAATCGGTCAGCGGTAGTGATGTCACACGATCAACATTGTTGTACATATTAGGCAATTTCTTTGAGGTGAAGGTCGGTTGAACAAGAGTAAACACAATCGCCCAATCCTTCCGATTACACTGTCAGTATTATGGTGTATATTTTCGCGGTATAGTTCAGATACTTTTTCATGAAACTGACTTCAGTATCTACATTTAGCCTTGTTCAATATCATATCATATGCGTGCATATAGGGTTTACGGTGTTTTATTCTTTGAAAGTATTTGATTGTTTGAATCATATTTACATAAGAAATTGACATATTTAGTGAAATACACCATATTCTAAACCTTTACACAAGTGTTAGAAGACCAAACGTAGCCATAACTGCAACTACTTTAGTTCCTATGATGTACAATATTCAATTTATTTGGACTAATATTGCAATTTCATATGAACAGGTTAATGGACGTGATTTAATTCAACCTTATATGTAAAACTGATAATAAATGACAATGATTTATATATGGTATGAAATGTATATGCACACATATTTAAAGGAATTGTGTTGTTCATTGCATAATTTTGTGTCGCTTTTATAGACAAAAGAATGATGCATATTCATCGGCAAGGTGCGCGTTTGTTGGAAACGTTTTATGATTCTCTATCATTGTTTTAGATAATATATTCAATTCATATTCGATTTAAATAATATTGTGATGACAGGATATCAAACTCTAACTACATTTATAGGAAAATTGTTGAAAAATATATATACCATCTCATGTGTTAATTAGGACAAATCTTACATCCATATTCTAATATATAGTTCCATATAAAAGCTATCTTTTGCATCTTTCATTGCATACGTATGAAGAGAAATAGCTACATAATCATAAACAAACAAAATTCTTATCCCAAACAAAATATTCGAGGTGTTGTGAAATATTATTTTTATTTACGCTTTTAAATTGATGCCAAACAGGTGCGCGTGTTGTTCACAATAAGATACGCCGTCAAACCGTCTAATTGTTGATATATTCAGGACACTATTCAAATGGAAAATCAGTCATTTTATGTTTTGTCTAAAGAGTGTTAAATTCTGGACGAGAAGCCGAGATCTTTTATACAGTTAATGGAAATTAGGTGAGATATATACTAATCAGCATACCAATGTCGCTCTTTTCGGACGCCGCAAAAATGCATAAAACAAGCAATGACGTCAACTAAAATGTTGTATTATTTTCAGCAATTTCGATTTACATTTGAAGATATGGCTAGTACTCTGGTAATAACGATGCAAAATTAGTCAAATTACATCTACACAAACAGGAAAATATGGGAATCTAAGAACTAACTTATTTTATCGGATAGGGCCATTCAAATCGCTATTACGTGCTTTTCACATGTAATACGTTGTCATCTTTTCTTATAAATTGTGAAACTACCAAAGCGATCCGTTCACATTGGGAAACTTTGAATTGGAATAGTTTGGTTCACCATGAATATAAAATAACGAAAATAAAGCGTCCGTATCCGCAAACAAATTCTTTCCAAGTGATCTGAGTTACATTGACCTAGTGTTACGCAAAACGGAGTTATGCCCCTTATCATTATCGTGTATGACCTCTCTGTCGCCGTTTGACGTCATAGAAGAAAATCCATTTTTACATTTATTAGCGAGTCATTTTTAATGTTGAGCCGTATAACGTTATGCACAAGCACATAAACCCAATTCATAAACATTTATGTCGTTCAGATATCAGGGCTGCATTTTTTCTTCTCCACACTTTCCGTAAAGATGCCACATTAAAAATTCGCAGCACAGTGCTTTTTATCGGTCTTGCGATAAAAAGCGAAGAAATTTACTGTTTTTAGCGCGATAACAAAAATGGACAACATTTAGCAGTGTCCATTTCTCAAACCGCCAAGAGTAGTTGCACTTATATTTATACCAAAGGATAGGAAATTTAACATTCTACATTTCTGTGTAATTGTATAGCCGCACGACGATATCCAGGACCCGCTGAAGCGCAATTCTCGCAAAAAGCGTTTACTTTTCAAACCGTATGAAAATGTGCCTGAAAAAAAAACTCGGCAGCCAGGGCTTAAAGGTCAAGGTGGAATTTCACTGCCCGTATGCTCCAAGACAAAGATTTAGGGGGTCCCCAGATTCAAGTACTATCGGGGAAACCTCAGGGAGTCCACTACCCTCTTAAAGCCATGGGTCATTGGGATTGTATCAGAATTTATTGTGCTTGAACCATATTTTGCTACAGTTAGCAATTATTTTAGATCTGTCCGTCTGAACACCTCAAGGCAGGCTGTTCATGTTTGATTATTTGTTTGTTGTGCCTCCTTCAGCAATAGTCCAGCTGTATCATGGAAGCCTGCAGATATCAGATTCTGATATCTAGCTAAGAGGGCTGACTCATTAGAATCAGCCTGCGTCAGGCTGTGTCAGCCTGTGTTAGTCTGTGTTAGTCTGTGTCAGCCTGCATTAGACTGTATTAGCATGTGTCAGAATGTGTTAGCCTCTGTCAGCTTGTGTCAGTCTATGTCAGCCTATGTCAGCCCGTGTCAGTCTGTGTTAGCCTGTGTCAGTCTGTGTCAGCCTGTCAGTCTGTGTCAGTCTATGTCAGTCTGTGTCAGCCTATGTCAGCCCGTGTCAGTCTGTGTTAGCCTGTGTCAGCCTGTCAGTCTGTGTTGGCCTGTGTCAGCCTGTCAGTCTGTGTTAGCCTGTGTCAGTCTGTGTCAGCCTGTCAGTCTGTGTTAGCCTGTGTCAGTCTGTGTCAGCCTGTCAGTCTGTGTTAGCCTGTGTCAGCCTGTCAGTCTGTGTTAGCCTGTGTCAGTCTGTGTCAGCCTGTCAGTCTGTGTTAGCCTGTGTCAGCCTGTCAGTCTGTGTTAGCCTGTGTCAGTCTGTGTCAGCCTGTCAGTCTGTGTTAGCCTGTGTCCAGCCTGTCAGTCTGTGTTAGCCTGTGTCAGTCTGTGTCAGCCTGTCAGTCTGTGTTAGCCTGTGTCAGCCTGTCAGTCTGTGTTAGCCTGTGTCAGCCTGTCAGTCTGTGTTAGCCTGTGTCAGCCTGTCAGTCTGTGTTAGCCTGTGTTAGTCTGTGTCAGTCTGTTAGTCTGTCAGCCTGTGTCAGCCTGTGCTAGTATGTGTTAGCCTTTGTGAGTCTGTGTTAGTCTGTGTCAGTCTGTGTTAGTCTGTGTCAGCCTGTGCCAGCCTTTGTCAGCCTATGTTATCAGCATGTCAGCCTGTGTTATCAGCATTTGTCAGCCTGTGTTATCAGCATGTGTCAGCCTGTGTTTGTCTGTGTCAGCATGTGTCAGCCTGTGTTATCAGCATGTGTCAGCCTGTGTTTGTCTGTGTCAGCATGTGTCAGCCTGTGTTATCAGCATGTGTCAGCCTGTGTTTGTCTGTGTCAGCCTGTGTCAGTCTGTGTTAATCTGTGTTAGCCTGCATTAGTCTGTGTCAGCCTGTGTCAGCGAATGTTAGTCATTGTTTGCGTGTGTCAGCCTGTGTTAGTCTGTGTAAAAAAATAAGTTCTTTACAATCCCCAAAATCATCATCATCATCATCATCATTACTATTTTTATCATGATTACATAAATGTGGGCATATAATGGAGTTACATACCTTTGCCAGTGAACACGCTAGAACTAAGAAGGTCTTCATCGTAGGTTGTTCGTATTGAATACACTGGATTATCTCCTGTGTCACTGAACACAATGCCAGCTGAAACATTAGCTGAAGATGCTTTGTACAGAGCTACTGCTTCAGCTTCCGTGGCCCTGTAGACCACATTCAGGCTCCCAATGTAACTTTGGACACTGGCAATAATATCCTTGACTTCTGTTGTGTTTGGTGCCACAAGAATGGTTCTGTTGGTGTTGAAGACGAAGCGTGGGTCTGCAAGATTGTATTGCGGGAATTCCGGAGTAGGAGGAGTCGTACTTGGCTTCGCAAAGGTTTTGATCAAAGAGAGGATCAGGACAAAGTATATTGGGAAAAACAGCTCCTGGAAGGCAAGGTTAAAGCAGCTGTCAAGTAAAGTGATTAAATGACCAGAAGGCTTCAGATAGACTTTGCCAAGTCAACACAATATTAAGAATTTTCATATTTTCATTGGTGATGAACTGACACTGTGTACAGTATTCTAAGCAAACATCAAATTTCACAAAATCTGCCTTGATTGACTCAAAAATAAAACTACTTTTGTCTTACTTAGGTAAATTACATATCACTTCTGAATATATCGCAAGGCCCTGGGTACTGTTTCACAAAGCTATTGTATGCTACGACTGTCGTACCTCGTATATCCCATACTGTAACATAGACTTCGACAGTCGTAGCACTACCATAGCTTTCTCAAATGGGGCCCTGTTCTACAAAGCAATTGTAATTGTAAGATGATCGATCGTCACTCCTAACCCTTAACAAAAGCTTATGACAAACATAGTGAGTACTCAGATCGTGGAACAGGGCCACAAAATAACAAATATGTGTTAAGAGATATCCATTTTGGATTTAATTTGAGTTTTATAAACCTCTTTTAAGGGATGAAACAAATATGAACAAAAGTCTGCTTGCTACAAGTTTCTGTTCACGGCCCATGTCCGAGAGCAGATGTATTGTCAATTTTAAGGTGTCAATTAGGAGATAAACATACTGTGTTGGAAAATCAGAGGTATATAAAGAAATTATAATAGCTCTAAATTTCATTTAAAACCAAAAGCATAGCGTGAGTTTTTTGAGATAAAACATTTAGAGCTATTATAATTTCGTTAAATACCTATTATTTTCCAACACAGTATGCTTATGTCCATTCTTCCATAACCATGTTATTAAGATTTAGAACAAAATACATATTGTGTAGGAAAATCAGAGGTTTATGACATGAATATATACCTCTGAATGACTATTATTAACCAATCATATGCTAGTATTTACTGAAGTCATGGTAGAATATGGCTTCATTTTCCAAAACTACAATACACATAATTTCATCTTATTGATATACAATCACGCTCATTTAAATACCTGGAAAACCTGTTTCTTGTTCCGCTTTTTGAGGAGAACATTTCTCCAAAGCAAAGTTTTCAGCTGTCCAAATAGAGACGACATTGCTCTGGCTTATTCTAAAACATAAAAAGCATAAAAAACTATAATTGGTTACTGTACAAGTATACAATATGAAACTGAATAAACAAGAGATATTGTTTATATGACTCGCTGTCAGCTAACAAGGTAACACAAACCTTGAGGACAAAATATACATAGAATAGAATTGAGCAATACACTTCAACTAATGCTGTGACAAGCAAGGGTTTCGCAATTTATGATCTCATCGACAATAAGAAATACCATGATAAGGCCAGACCAATTTTATTTCTTGTTTTACCGCCGGTCGTATTTTTTCAAGGATTAGAAAAAAAATAAAAATTAATTTTCCCCACTCAAAAAATAAATTCCTAATGTCTTTATTGGGCAAAAATGTAAACTTACAAGAAAAATGTTTTAGATTGTATTTTGCCCTATATACACTTCATAAATTGCCAAAAGTAAAAAATACTTTTAGCATTTAGAAGGAATATTACTTTGACTGGTGATTTTTGTAAGTTTTTTTTCCCTCCTGCCTTTATGTTTCCTGAGGCCAAAAGTGCGTAAAAGAAGAAATAAAATTGGTCTGGCTTAGGAACGTCTGAAATATGACCCCGATCTGTGTATATGATGCAATACACCACTTCCATCACAACAAACACTGTCAAGCCCCTACTATGGATTACGCAATCTCAATCAATACAATTACTTCGCCTAGGCTTGGTAAACACCATGTTTATGTTTATAGTGACTATCCCAAACACTCCTTCATGATAACCACTGTTTACTCTCTAAATAATTGGGTCTGGTCAAGCGAACACGTGGTTGACATCATGGGCAAAGATTCATTCCTCTGCGGTAAAGTCACCCCAGTTGTCCAGATCACACATTTAAACCACATATATCTCTAGTGACATGTGATCTTGACCAGCTATGACCTAGAATCAACAGGTAAGGGGAATGATATGGAGGAAAATGATAAGAAATGAGGTCAGAACACTACATTTAGAAGGAGGCAACAAGCTTAATACAAGTTTTCAATAAATCACGAACGTCATCACAAAAATAAAAAATAAATAAATAAATCCAGTCCCTGGTGTAAATCAATAGTGTAATAAATAGAGGTTCACCCTTGAAAAAAATCGGGGAGTTTCATTTTAATGCAGTGAGATAGACTCTTTGATAACTTGTCTCTCCAGAAGGTAAACCACTCAAATTTGTAAAATTCTCAAAATTTTAGGTGTGATCCTAGATCCAACATATGTTATATTTGGGATTACACTTTCTTAGTACAAGATCCAAGATCACTAGATCATGTCCCAAGTAGCACAAACAACTAGAATATGTTGAAAACAGATATAATGAAGACCTGAACGACTGTAAGTATTTTCATGGACATCTAGGGGTGTAAAATATGTTATACTTGGGATTACACACACTCAGTAATGGACCGTCCCGGACATGTACAGTTCTGGTACTTTTTTAACAAAAAGGAGAAAGAGACTTTGACACTTGTTAAATTATCCTTTGAGATACAGACCCAACTATAACTATGTGGAGAGGGCTTATTTAAGTTGGATAACTTGTGCCCAATCCGTTTCTTAATTGAATAAAATATGTTTCAATCAAATCAGACCCAACTCTTTGCTACCATTACGCTTCATTCATTTCAACACTTGCTTGTTTCGAGAGTGAATGAATATTGTTTTACACTGCTTTCAGCAACATCCAGTTTCTTGACAGGGGACACCAGAATAGGCATGACATATTGTGACCATGTATGGAATTGAACCTGGATCTTTGGTCTGACAAGCAAAACACTTTAATCACTGAAAGAAACCTTTCAAAAATTCCCACTAGACCACAGGACCGGTGAGTGGACAATAATTAGTGGTCCTGTCTGTACTTCACTTGTCCAAAATAACATTCATAGATTTACTGACAAACACAAAATTCAGTGGCTACCACAGGACAACTGCAAACTTTTAGTGGTCCTGATGAATTTTTACTAGCCACGGACCACAGAACCAGTGTAATTTCACACACTGTTTAACCACCAGGTGAATGCTGTGCATGCTTTGTAATAATAATCCTAAATGTGCAGCTGAGTTAATCTAACATTTGGATATAAGCGAGTCTTATTCACCCATGCTAATTTTTCTGTGTTGATAAAGACAGTACCATAATATGACAAAACAATATACACCACCTATACACCTACTGTCACAGACTTGTTCATAGTTAGATTTTCACATGTACTTAGAAACATCTCGAGCTCGTTTGAACATGTTAGAGTGAGTGAGTGAGTATGGTTTTATGCCACTTTTAGCAATATTCCAGCAATATCATATGGCAGGGGACACCAGGCCCAGATTTCTCGAAACAAACTTAAGTCTGAGTTTTGACTTAGTTTGAGTTTTTACTCAAATTTGAGAAAACACAGGAAAAAGCATTTCCCAGAATGAACTGAAATTGATATTAAGCTCAGATATAGTAGACAATTTGAGTTTGGTGGATAGATTACTTAAGTTGTTTGGGCTTTTTCATTTTAAAAAAAATTGAGTTAAAATTTCAGCTGCTTCAAATTGTCAAGCTCAGTTTGAAATTTGAGCAAAAACTTAAGTTTGTTTCAAGAAATCGGGGTCAGAATGAACATGTTAGAAGTGCAAACAATACTTGTATGTGTAAGAAAGCTATTTGAAAAAGTCTACTTTCATTCGAAGGTTCCTGTAACTTTAAAACACGTTGGTTGCTTGTGCACCAAAAAGGGTCCTTATTATACATCATCGTTTGCTCATAATATTCAAACATAGTCGTGTCAGATGTTTAAGAGACCTATGTAAATACTTCAAGTTATCTGAGGATTGACACAACTGCTAAAGATGATTAAAAAGGAATACGCACGAAACTAAACTTATACTTTGTGACACCAGCTGTATCTTCAACACATCAATGTTCAACACAATAGTGTTTGACAGTATCTCATGAAAGCCTGCCAAATGAAACTTTAGTCCAGTTGTGTTATCACCGCCACACTGGTCATGACACTGGGTCAAGTTCTTGGTATTTATCTTTGATAAGGGCTCGTCACAGTCATACCAGGGTGACTATGGTCACATGTCAACACATAGTCACCATGGCAATATACACTCATACTGCCCGCAGGTGTTAGGGTGAACATATGTAATCATTAGGAGTTATTTCCTTATATCACAAGTGAATAAATAACTGACTTCCAGATAATGCCTGATGGAGACCATGTTTGACTGTTTGACACAGACACAAGAACCAGGCCTGAGAAAAATGTAACATGCTGTGGACCAGAGTTTTAAGAGTTTAACTCATTACATTGTGATATTGACACGCACACACTCACTCACTCACTGACTCACTCTCACTCACTCACTCTCTCTCTCACTCTCTCTCTCTCTCTCTCTCTCTCTCTCTCTCTCTCTCTCTCTCTCTCTCTCTCTCTCTCTCACACACACACACACACTCACATACATGACATATCATACAACAATCAATATTTATACCAACGTTCCAACAACAAAGCATTACAATATTACACTGGCCAACGGTTCAGGAAACATTATTGTTTACAAATATGACAGATCTGAGACAAAAAAAACAATCAGAAAATACAGATGGCTGGCGGTATGTTACATACATTTACAATTCAAAGGATCACCATTGACTGCATGCTTCACACAAATGGAAGCTACTCAGACATAATGAATAATCAGATAATCAGTTAGCTCAACTCAACTCAACAGTGTCAACTCTCCATCACTTATGTCAAGCATGCTTTTCAATCTTCAAAGCCATTTATTTGTGACCCAACTGTCAAGGCAGGGGCTATGGGCCATTTTGCACATTATAATAAAAATGGCCCATTAAAATTTGAAGTTTACTATTGATACAAGGGCAGTGGGCCATTCTAAATTCAGATAATGGCTAATAATCCTGAAAATGGCCCATTGTCAAAGTTCTCTATCTCAATCTCTGTACAGTATCTTTTCAACTGTGAATCGAGGTGTGTCAGACTGACCAGTCCTCTCAGTGGTGAAGCTCAGGTTTTGAAACAGTAGTACAGATTTCAAAATATGGTGAGAACGGTGAAGGAGTTATGCTTCATAATATATCTCTGCCATGTTTGAACCAATGAAAACAAATCCATATTATATGAGCCCTTGTCACATACATAGTAGGACTGGTTTGTTAAATTAGCATTTTCCGTGTAATGATAAACAAACACTTATGTGGCGTCTAATGTCCAACCACTGCTTCTCAGTGGTGCTTTTGTGTGTGTGTGTGTTGTGGGTGTGCTGTATTGAGTAGTGCTGAAACTGGTTGCAATTTCACAATTGATAACTGGTTCGATACCAGCACACATTCATCGAAAAAAATTGGACAGCATCATATTTTCTATATTCCTATTCTGAGGTTCTTATTGCAAATAAGTACAACGTGGTCATCTGTTATTTTTTGCTTTATTTAGAAACTGTGCACATTACATTTGCAAATTTCACATCCAATTTAAAATGTTCCATCTTGCTACTTTAAAGTGATGACTATAGTCCGTTTGGCTCAAAAGCGGACCAATGAATTGGAATCTAACTCGAAAACTAATATACATAAAATACTAAATAAAAAGGTTATTAAAATTAAAACATCAGACCAGAAAGACTTCCGCCCGTATCCCCCCTTAAATTTCATTCTAGTCAAATCATATCACCTAAATATATATTCCTCATCTGATAAGGATGAGTTTTAACATGTTTCTATAATTGTATCTGAACATTAAACTGAAACACATATCAGAATTCTAAAAAAGAAAGAAATATTTCCTCATCATTATAATTTAGGGGGAATACGGGCGGAAGTCTTACCAAAATATTTACACAGTTCACTATTTGTTATGAGGGAGGAGTGCAAAGAGAGGAACAGCAAGGTATTTCATAAGAGCATGAGTGTGAGTTTAGGGAGCACCTTTAGAATACAGCACCACAACTTCTCGTGAGGACGATCTCTGCCGTAGGTCACGTGTCATTAAGACAAGCAACCACTTTGTGAGAACCTGTCGGACGCGAACCCGCGACCTTCGGATTGTTAGCTCGACAGCTAACCGACTGAGCTACGTCCACACTGTTGCACAATGTGCAAATTTATCGAGTCATTCCTGTGACGTCACGGAAATGAACGGAAAGAGTCGAATAGGTCACGGACAATTACGAATGCTACGGGTGGACTTGGTGTCTCGTGATTTTATTCTACGGACAATTGCCGAATGGATCCGATGCCATTTGGCACACTCGTCCAATTCCGTAATCTACAAATTAACATGTGGCGTGGAATGAGCCGATATGCCTCAAACTGAAAAGGGTTGTTGACGTCAGACGTAGATTTCACGGTGCATGCATGAATGACGCGCTTTTATATAAATCGGTGATTTTGTGACAGAAAAGTGATGTAGGGAACACTGTAAGAATAATGTGGATCGCACTAAGGAACGAGGGAGACATGAGCATGTGTAGTGACGGCACGAGGGTGAGTAAGCCTTCGAATCATTACTTTACAAAATTTATGTTGCGTGTGAAGAGGCTTGAGTGCAAATTCCAGGCCAATTTCCATTAGGCCAAAATTTCTACATTAACCCATTTCTTAATGTACTTTCGACGTTTTTGGTTTCCCGTTTTTGTGTGCAAAAAAAAGAGTATTAAAATGCAAAAAGGAAAAACAACAAATGGTACTCACGTATTACACCGGACATGTACCTACTATATTGGATTAGGTCCCTAACCCTAACCCTAAACCCTAAACCCTCTACCCTAACCCTAACCCCTTGAAATAATCCTAATAAATAGAATGCATTGACCGAACCACCGGACATGTACCTACTATATTGCATTAGGTCCCCAACCCCAACCCTAAGCCCTAAGCCCTAAGCCCTAAGCCCTAAGCCTAACCCTAGTCCTAGCCCTAATCCCTTGAATTAATCCTAATAAATAGAATGCATTGACCGAACCGGCACAAACACGACTGACGTGTCTAGTGTAATGCATTATTACCGCTTCGAAAAATAAAACCACCGCCGCCGCTAGGTGGCGCGACACACCCCTTTTCGCGGGAAACAAATTTCCTGACCTGGCACACGGTACCAACTTTATACGCTCTGCTGTGGAAAATCCCAATAACCTTCACCTTTAACTTATGCAAATTTCGGAGGTCAGGTCATTTGTGTTGTCGTATTCGGCCATTTTTTTCATCTATCGGATGCTGCATGGCTTTGCGTGAGAAAAGAAATCAAGCACTACATCAGAAAAGGACGTTGACAGCCGTATACGCAACAGGTAACACTATTTACTGGACTCATAGATCATATAAACACTTTCTAAAACTCAAAAACTGAAGTAAATATCCGTGAATTGTGTTAGAAAGCGAAAATCTCACATTCGCGATGTTTTGAAAGGGAGGTAACTCCGACAGTATGACGCGCTGTTTCGCGCGCGTGTCTTACTCGATGTTACTTAAAATAGCATGGGGATTTCCAACTTTCAGAACATTGACAAGCACTGCACTGTAGCATATTTTACTCCAGTACATACCAATCGTGTATGGTTAAATGGAACATAATGTTAAGTTACAGATACAAATATTTTTCTGAACAAATTGGTTTTTCAGAATGTTTTAGTTTTTTGCAACCTATTTCAATTTATTACGAAATGGTGCGGTCATGATATTTATTATAAATTATTATAATTATAATTTATATAAACTGAGCCAATTTCCATTCCACAATTTCCAATATATTCCAATCCAAATCCATTTCTAGTGTGGAATTGCCTTGATGGATTGTCAGTGTCAGCACTCATTTTCATTTTATATTTTGATGAATAGATAAATTTGCATTAATTATGTTTAAACTATTGACATCATTTACTAATGTTGTGTGACTCATTCATAAATTGTAAAATACCCGGTAATTAGTTTTTATTTCGAAAATGAAATTGCTTTATCCTAAATGTAATGGGTGCCTTATTAATTGAAAAGTTAAACTGTTTATATTATTGAAACAATTTGAAGCTATAATATACTTTACATGTTTACTTTATAACAATTATTTGTTGATTTTCATTGTCAGCTTTCATTTTCAACTTGGTTTTTGGTGAACAAATTTACCTACATGAATCTTCTTTAAGCTAATGACAGCACCAGTGTTCTTATTCCAATGTTAATGTCATAAACGTATTTGTGAAGTAACTTACCTTATTAATATTTTCATTGAAATAATTTTAAATTGTATGATTTCTAATATAATGGGTGCCTTAATTGATTTATTAAAGTTAAACTTTAAAGAGTACTGAAACTATTTGAAGCTATACATTACAAGTTAACTTTATGACATTAACAAAAGTGCTATCACTATTCATATTCCATGTTCAGATTGGTAATGAATTTAACATGAGTTATACTATATCTTTTTGAAAAGCGTCTGTTTCTTCTGGGATCAGCTGAGGAGGAGCAGACTTCAGAAAGTTGACTGAGATGTCAGACGACAGCTTGACTTTCTGTTCCCAAGCAGTAGACTCGGGAACAAGTTTTCTGGATTTTCCAGACAACAGTCTGCAGTTTTCAGAAAGCCAGGTAACCGTGGTGAAGGCAATAATGATTTTATATAATTCACATGAGAAATATGTTGTATACAAGGTTATTTTGTTAAAACATGTTCCTCATCTTAATGTAATTGTAAATAATTTACAAAATATTACGAAATTACAGATCACATGATGTCTTCTTTTTCAAATTATTTTCTCAAATTATTTTTGTTTCAGTCTCCAATTTTCTAAGTGAAAACCATTTCTTTTCAGATAATGGAACTCTTGGTTCCAAATAGTAAATACAAAAATGTATTTGTATGAAAATTTATTTATAAATTTTTTTCTGAAAAAAAAAGCATTTTCAAAACATACACTTTTGTATTCTTGTGAAGCTACTCAGCCCCCACATGAATTCTTCAGTGACTTTTCATATTATCAAGTGTTGTGAATTGTTTATTATCATAAACACTTCAAACTCAACTCAGTTGTTACACTTTCCAAAAAATATTTTTATTACTTACGTTTAGTTAATAATATGAGGATAAGTGGTCATTTGGACTGTAAGTTTATTTAAAAAGGAACTTTCATATGCATAAGAAATATTGTTCATTTTCAAATAAATGTTGGAAGAAAATGTCCTGAAGCTTAACTATGATAGATGATGTTACTTTTTAGATAATTAGGGCTACATAATATTTTAAACAAGTTATTGAAAATTGTTAACGGCTACCAGATCAATAAAGATATTACCAGTATAAATACACATTGATCAAGCTATGCTCCCTTATTAAATGTTTGTTTTAAATCTTTGTTTTTTATTTCAGACACGTGGTAGTGACTCGAATCAGGGAATAGCTCCAGTTCCATCCACCTCAACCCACCAAGTGAGGCCAAGCCAACCTATTCTGATTGAATCTTCTGAGAGTTCCATCAGTCCCTCTCTCATCTCGAAGAAGAGAGGAAGAAAAAAGCCTTGTGAATACAAAACTCTGTATTTTTTTCATAGGAAAGTCTTTAGAACCTCTACCAGGGCAAGGTTATTGATTATTAAAAGCAAAGAACTTGAAGTATTTATTATTAATTTTATGTATTTACTCGTTAACTTAATTAAATGTAAATTCATATTATAAATATCAATTATAAATCTTTTGAAGTCTCAATATATTTTATCATATAATTCATTTTATGTGATATATTTTATTCCTCTTTTGTAGTTTTAAATATGTCATTTTTTCATTTTACAGGTGCTTTTCCTGTTCCTCGGCCAGACGGTACCTGTCTTCAGAGTGCTCTTAGTCAAATATTATGAACAAATGGTGATTAAATTTTATGTCATGTTGTAGAATAAAGCCTTGTGAATCCAAAACTGTGTCTATTTCTGTCATAGGACAGTGTTTAGCACCTCTACCAGGGCAAGGTTACTTTTCCTCCATATCCGAAAATGGATATTAAAAAACGTCCCTTTTTTTCGACTAACAAAGGTCTCAGAAAAAAATATTGATGGAAGTATGTGAAATATGACAATGCATGTGACCTTAGATACATCTAAGGTTCCCTAAAAAAATAAAAAATAAATTCTAGCTGATTTCCACAAAAATGGCAATCGGTGGGGGTATATGGGTGGACCTCTGTCTGACACGACATCTGGTTGAACACAGTGACATCGACTTACCTTGGTGAAGATCTGTATGGTAATGCAGAAAGAACACGCCAGTCGACAAATAAGTGTCACATCCCAATTAATGATCACCGGATTGTTTTCAACTCATCGTCACACGACTGTTACTGTTTGTGTGGATTGCGCAAGCCGTGGCCTGAGTTGTTCCCCTTGACAGGTGCTCCGCCCGGCCAGGCGGCAGCTGTCATGGTTTAGAGTTAGTAAGTTACCTCCCCTTTGTAGCAGACGACAATGATTACTGACAAGAGACTATCAATGTCCATCGATATTCAGTGGCTATAAGTGTAAACAAATTCATGTGCCTGTCTGTTGTCGATTCGGTTTTGAATTGTGGTAACAAAGTAGATCGACCTTTTATTTGTATTGTTATTAAATTAAGAGATCCAGGATTAAAACAAAAGAAGCAGGCAGGTGGCAAGGACGGTGGTAGTCCAGCATGTAACTAAAGAACTGTCGGAAATAGAAAAAAACTGTTTTTAGGCTGTTTACTCTGTATCCCTAAAATTTACACAATTGCAAATAGCATATGTCGAAATAACCCACTTCGGCCTAACTGGGCGTCCAGTGGGATGCGTAATACGATAACCAGAAAAGCATGTTTACTCGTAAAATCGGGCAAAACTTAGAAAAAATACGAATAGCTGCTGAAAACAATAGATCAGACTATAGATGGCAATTAGGTCGCTCAGCCAGGTATGACGACGGACCGTCGACTCACCTGGCATGAAATGCACGTGCTGCCTACAAGGAATAGGGGTTTCTGAAAGATATTTTGTGCTTTTTCATGTGTTTCATGTCTCATCTATTGACTACGTTGCACTCTACCAAGGTGTGCTCGATGCAGGCCTTGGCTGGAATACGCGTTTATTCATATGAACTAGGACGGTGGATGAAGTGGGTTTCCACTCAAATTATCACAACCACGATTGCGTTAAAGGTAATCCATTATCAACTTTAACAGTCAGGCGCCAACTTTTTCGTGTAAGCCCGTGTAAGCAAAGCAGTATATTTAGATGGTAATGAGGGCTTACCCAATCTTCCAAGGAACAATCGTGTGTACATTTAAGCCGGGGCTTCTGTGTTTAGAATGGCCCCTGACAGTTTTAAATCACCATGTTATCGTTCTACTGGCAGCATGCAGACAAAATGTCATCAGATATAAAACGGTTGTGATCAACCCAAGAAATTCAGAACTCCAAACCGAGACTAACACATAGTCTCTGAATATGTAGGTTTGATAGAAACAAACAATTCCTTCCAAGTTGAAAGTAAAAATCAATTAAGTGACACCCCCATCCCCACCCCGCATTTTATTTCAAAATCAATGGACCCACTACCCACACCCACCCCTTCCCCACCCATCCACCCATACACACAAAACTTTTATGCAAAATCGTTTAATATGTTATGCACAAAATTGCTGACTTCCCCTAGTCCATATACAAACTTGTTGACCCCCTAACTCCTCAGAACAAAATTGGTGACCCACCCTCCACCACCGTAAAATCATCATCGTCATCAAAGCTTTAGACATGAAAGGAGCACTGTGTAAGGTCGCCCATATGTGCGCCGAAATGGATGAGTGCTTCCCTGTATGGTTGACATGATAAAGCCAACGCTTTGCCCTTTTGGTAATGAAAAGGGAATGATGTGATGATGATGGTGATGATGATACATACATACACACACACACACACACACTCACACACACACACACACACACACACACACACACACACACACACACACACACACACACACACACACACACACACACACACACACAGCCCTAAATTATGAACAGTCCCTAATATTACTCCTAAATATTCCTTACAAGTGTGGTTGTAACTGGTAAGTGATTTTCAGGTATGCGTCCTGATTACTTTCCATCGATAAACAGACCCGTTATACTTTTATTGCCCAAACCGTATACTGGAACAGTCCGAGAGTCTATTTAATAAATATTTTAGTGGTAGTCGAGTTTGCCAAGACCACTCCAATCCGAGTTTCTATGGGCGTTGTGACATGCCAACAAAATCTGGGGATCGATATTCAGTTGAGTGGGTGCACAACGCCAGTTTCGCTGCGTATACAGTCCGCGCACTTGTACTTTTATGTAGATCTGACATGTGTGTCTGCAATGTATGCTAGCGATTTCCTAATTTCAAGGAGATGTATTTCCTATTATTGCATATACTAATCTCGTACGTCACACGAGTGTCGTATCGCGTTGACCTGTGTCGTAACAACTTGACCTGAGATTCTAACGATTTGATTGGATAACCGATGACCTGTCAATTAGGTCACATTCTGACGTTACTATTTTTTCATTCATAACAAACGCGTGAATTCATTCATTCTACAACTTAAATGCACTGTGGGAATGTAAACATTGCGAACGTTGCCGTGTCGCTGTATAATTGTGAGTCGAACTGAGACATTATATCCGTTGAAAAACATAAACGCAATGTTTCCACCAGTGATGTTAGCCGAATAATTTCGTGCTTTCAAGTTTACACAGATTCCCGAACGTTGGTTGGTTGAGAGAGCGGTCATGTGATCTAAATTTCAAGGTTCATTACTCTTGAACCCCTCTAATCGTTCATACTTGTGTAAACACCGTTCATACGTGTGTGAACGTTTTTCGCTTCGGTTTCAAGGACCCCCAATAATTGGTGATGCCAATTTCGCGAACGAACATTGTTCCTTTTCACAGGAGTTTAATGTTTCGCAGTTTGCGGGTTCATCTGGCGGTTTTCTGCCCGAGGTCTGTTTAACAACTGCTCAATAAATTTCACAATAAACAATCACAAATAAATAGAATACAACAAGATCAGCTTCCTATTCGCCACGCCGCACAACTTCGAAATTATTACGCGGTCAAACAAGGTATTTACAAGTGAAAAGGTACAATGCTATTGTTATTGCTTCTTTTTTCTGTTTGATGCTGTTATTGATGTTATACTTATTAAAGCAGTTTCAAACCTCATAACGAATTTGTTGTTATATTTTAAAGATCGGATACTTTGAGAACTATTTCTTCAAGGGTTGGGATACATGTGTAAAGAAAATCGCTGTGTATACAAACATCGCTGCAATACGTACGTTCTTGAACCGAATGGCATTACACCATTTTACAGGTATTAAAACACACTAAACAATGATCATCTACAAGTGGATGGAAAACGTATGTGTAAACTTCAAAGTGCGAAATTATAAGAATTGAATGTCAGTTTGTGTGTTTGCACTGAAAAATGAACGATGTCAAAGCGTTGTTCAAACTCTCGCGTGAACTCGCTCGTAAACTCGCTCGTTCACACGAAACACCGCTTTGACATCGTTCATTTTCAGTGAAAGCAACTGGAAAGAAACGAGGTGCTACGGAGTAGTTTACTGTAGGAGGCTGTACGAGGCGATGACAACTGAGATGCATCGTGACGTCGGTTACCAAGGCAGTGACGTCATTACAGTGTGACGTCATGCAAATATTGTACTACAGTACAAAACTCTTCCGCAACCTCTTTATGAAACCGGTTTCGATTTGAAACCAAAAACATAACAAAAATACGCTATTTTGTCATTTTAATGCATGTTAGGCGTGGGTAATAAATAAAATACCACACTCGGTCTCATTACATACAAATTATACAAAACTCGTGACCTTCCTATGTTATCTGCTCGGTCAGATACCATAGGAAGGACTCTCGTTTCGTATAATTCGTATGTAATGAGGCCTCGTGTAGTATTCTCTATGTAAATATGAATCCAGTATTGTACATTTCAGATATCGAATCCTGTCGACTTCAAACACAACTCGTACATTGTCAGACACAAAATTATGCATGCTTAATACGTGATTCGTTCATTGTGGGACACTGAATGCAAAGTCGCGCCAGTCAATTGTATATGTATAATGACGACGATTGCGACGACAACGACGGCGATGATGATCGATGCGTTAATAAACTGTACTTCAGGAGGTCCCTTTTTCGTCTAAAGGTGACTCAGTACCTGTCAACTTGAGATATTAAATTATGTCTGCAGATACATGTGCCTGGTGATCATGGCGCAGGAATCAACAGACAGACACACAACAGACACAGAAAGAAAGACACCATTAATATTTCGCAATTAGCAAATAACACTATCAATCTATCGTATCTATATACGCAGAACCCCATGATTTCTGATTTACTTCAAACCATTAGACAAAATGTTCCAATTCCATATGCTGATATTATAATGTATCGACGTATATGCTTTATGTAACAATGAAAACATTTACTACACAAAAGCCGCAATTTAAGAGATATCAACACAAGTCAAATTAAACTTATGTACAGAAAATTAAAGTTAAAATAAAACAAAGTCAACTTGACCAGGTTTCACAGCAAAATAGCGGTGCGATCTTGCCTCCTGTTTTTTTCTACTTTTTGGACGATCCATTGACAAAGGGATAAAAAAACATGGAAATACGACGTTGTTTTGACCTTTGTGACATCATCCCATGTTCTCTTTCTGCGCGTGTGTCTGGCGGATCTTTCCATCGCCCTCAAGCTAGAACTTGAGTTTAGTCAAGTTGAAAGCCTAGCGAGATTTTTACTATGTATTGGAGGGTATTACTTTCCCCGTAAGACCTTCCTTGATGTTTGACTTCTTTCCAGTGAAACCTACGGATTTACTTTGAATCATAAATAAGAACTATACTTTGAGTCTTTGCTTTTAAACCATATAACTTATTTTGTATTTAATGGGATTTGACTAGTCAAAAGGATTTTCTTTTCACGAATAAATTTCTTCAAGTGTGATTTGTTTGGATTTTGTTTGCTTAATACCTTAATATTCCAGTTACATCACGGCATATAACGAATCTGCTCTCCTTAGACCTATAAATAAGTTCCAAAGCTATAGTGTAGCCTTAGTCGTAATAATGGAACTTCCATCAGTTAATTGTAGCTATAAAATGTCATCACGAGTAACAGCTGCAGTTTACACATTGCCTCCATGTTTCAATCCATCAGTGTACACTTTTATAACCGGTATATTGATGTTTCATTTCCAGGAAGAATTGTTAACATGACAAAGGGTAAGTATCGGCTTTTCTAATGACAAAGCTTCTATAAACATGACAAAGGGG